CTTTGACTGATTTTACTCGCGAAACCCCTTGATCGAATTCACTACACATTCGATGGTTCTTCAAACAATCGTACACGAATTAGTTGATCGTGTTGGTTAATTTGTGTTACCAATTAGGCTGGGTGAAAAAAACAGTCATACTTATTTCTCGCAGAAAAATTTTAACGCTCAATTTCAAGTTTGTTCGTTTACGATTTGGATCAATTTTTACGCGATCAATAGATATTGCCAGTAAATATTTAATTGTCTAGTTGAATCTTATTTGTCTTTCAAGAACTTTCAAGCCAAGTATGTTATTTAAATGCGTTCTCAACATACCACGTACCGAATTTTGCACGCATTCTATTCTTACAGATGGTAATTTTACGAAAAGAATCGATGAAATTTGAAAGGCACATTCTGGTATGGTAGTACAACGGGTAACTTGTGCACGTAGAGTACTTTAAAGCTACCTTAACCCATCTATGAGACGTGTCTCGTGTTTAAATTTTCACGCGTATATCGTGCGGAAGCGACGAATGGCTGACACGACTTTAACCCCACTTCTAATGAATTTCAATGAATCGAATGGGTCCCGCACTTTAATCAAACCCCACCGGTATACTTATATCCCGTTTGATATAGTAATTGCCCTCTTAGTATTTATTTAATCCTCGACACTGCCCTGTATATCTCTTCACGAACCACTGGATACGCTGGAAAATGTACCGTATCCTTTACCGCGGGAGAACTTTAGATAACAGAAATCACATTTAGTAGAAACACTTCATTTTTTTATCATCAACATCGCACTATCTCGTTACGTCTCGCGAAAAGGAATGGTCGTATGAAAATGCAATACACGTAGACACCTATTATTCGAATAAAATTCTGACTTGTTTTCTTATCGCGTCGCCGGCGTCGGCGTCGGCGTCGCGTCGAATAGCGACGCCGTTAAATCATAGCGATGGCAATCGGTATGCGTGTGAATTTTCAAAGTCTACCATCAACGTAACGACTCGATACATCTCCAGCGTCCATGACGCACAGCGTCAAAAAAGTAGTTTCCTTCGGTCGTAACTCATCCCGTTTCCAAGCCGATATCGTGTACCATAAAACCTCGATATTCCAACGTTTCATCTCGGCTATTCAACGCACGTACATTATAACGTCCGGTTCGTTCGGGTAGAATGAACGCGGTAGAGCAATTGTATTTACCTTGGCTCGTAATGGGATCCACGAAGAACGTTTAATAACTTTCAAATCGCAATGACCTTCTACCAGGTACCGATTTATTCTGTTAAGGTTTCGGAAACGACACTGCTACCCCGAACACGCGTCTTTTCTGGAACCACGAGAGAGTACCGGAGTAATTAGCTACGTCCGAAGATACCGTACGACCTTGTACCCCTCCCGTTTCGAAATAGCGCGGTCCCATGAATAGAAAGGGGACAAAGGGTACATACTTGTATTCCCACGAACGCGAGTGGGACAAGTAGGAAATCGGGACATTCGAAATTCAAAAGTCGTCCGCTGAGCGATACGGACTGTTTCGACAGATGGGTCAGACTCGAGTAGTAACGAAGATTTTTTTTCTTACGGCATCGTTCTTTCCTCCGATCTGTTCGTGGAGTTTTACGACACAATACATAGGATATCATTACGTGTATCATTGTAGTACTGGAAATACCATCGTGTTATTATGGAGAGGGAAAATGACGAAAAACGTTGGTCGTATTAGTCATCGGTTCAAATTATTCTCGTACCGGAATTCTCAACGTCGATCGACAGATGCAGGAACGAGACGCACCGTCGCACTTCGCAGAATAAATCGAGCCACGGAGATTTACGTCTGGTTGCATCGTCGCGCTTGAAACGATGCGCGATGGGGAAACGATAGCGACGGTCGACGAGCGTCAAATCGGAATTATTTACTTGAACGATCAGAAACATACACATCTGTTTAATCCTTCATCAAAACACGACATTAATCTACTATAGACGTTTGATTGCATAGCACGTCGAACGGAATTTGCAGACCTGTAAATTTCTTTGGAATTATAGCGTGCGATTACCACCATACATACATACATATGTATTATACATACATCGGGAGGAGGAATCTTGTTGATTTCGCTGATAACGAAGATCTCACCGCACAATTTCGCGCAAAGGAAATTGTTCCTTGGCGAGGGTGGTTCGCCTGGTTCTCTACATTTCTCTTGGATTCTGTTTCGGAATGAAATACGTAGAAAATCGAAATTGCTTCCCTGCTTCCTGATTTTTAATTACCTAAAGTCATTCAAATCATCGTTCGTTATATTATACCATGCTGCGAGGCTCGTCGCGCGAAATTTCGCGCAATGTCATCGCGCTGGTCGAATCGGATCGCATGAAAACGAAATAGTTTGTCGAAACGAGGGACACGTGACACGTGACACCCGGCGACAACGATATGACGCACGGTTACGACGGTGACTGGTAACATGTGGCACTGTTTGACTGATGTCCGGTAAATCACTATTTCGGTGCATCAGATACACGTGCATACCCGAGCAAAATAGCGACCGATTAGAGCTGACCCGATCACCCGGTGTTCCGATACGGTACCTACGACTCTCCTTAATTTCCAACGAAATCGTTTATCGATCACGGGTTGTTAGTGCCAAGTTCCAACGGGCAACGGCCTCGGCAGATTCTCGTATTCCCGATATCGGCTCATACCATGCATTTATTACGATAAACGTGTAGCGAACGATAACGTACTCGACCATCGACTCACCGTCCGTCATTACGATACGCTAAAAGAGAACGAAACCTTTTAGAAGTAGTCTGTACCTGCACTTTAAGTTCTTGTCCGTTGAAGAACGTTTCTTTCGAATGTCTTGGTAAAACTAATTTCGCAAGAATCGTAAGAATTCCAAGCAGGAGGAAGACATTGCTAGTAACGGAACCCACTTGTCCAAAGTTCCATTGCCTGACAATGGGATTAAGTTACACCGTGGCTCACATTATTCCGAAGGTATCGCAAGAAGGTAATTGGACTATTCGGTCGAGGCACGAGGCAAGTTAATTACGTTCGCCGATATACAATATATGTATCTCGCAGACATAATTGAAATCACGATAACATCTTCGATCCAAATAGTCTTCTCGACGCGACGCGACGCGGGATGGTACGGACGACACTTGTTTCCGAGTATTCCGATCAAGTGCGCACTTACACGGTCACGCGGTATTATTATATTCGTATTTTAGCATCGATTCACTTTTACTTGACACGTATAGGTTCCTCCCTTTCTCCACTCACCTTTCTATCGTTTCCCGATAGATTTTCGTAGAATTCACGTCTCTCGCCTGCTTGTTCGGCGACGTATTTTAATGCATTAAAAATGAGGAACTCTCTGGCTCGACAACGAGAAAAGTCGACGAATAAAGGTGAAGAAACACTCTTGAAACGGTTTTTCCAATTTATGATTCACCGTACACTCGGTCGCGGCCCTTTTCCGCGTTTCCGCGAGATGGAATCGTCGTATTTGCCTAGGCAATCGCTGTAAGCGGATGCAATTTATGGAAACGCAGATGGTATCATCCTCGATGGAATTTGAAATTTGGTCGATTAGTATCGGATACACGAACCTTCCAACAGTTGAGAAAATCCAACAACGTTAACCATCCGATGGCTGACACCTTTATTTCCGTTGCTCTTCTTTGATACAAAGTTACAGCAGAGTCCGCATTCCCCGGATCCATTACAACCGTGGCTTCACGATTACCGATATGAATTATCGAATACACGGTGTCGTTTAATCTCTCGAAATACACGAGAGGCAAACGAGAATCGTTCGTTTCCCGTGTAAATTTATAGGAGGATATTACTAGAGCATTGTAAATTAATAGCGGTGACAAAACTATTTGTACGCGCGATTAATGGGACGCTACATAATGCGCGGATAACGACGGTTCCAAAACGTTCCGGGGCTGTGGAGTGTGATATGTAAAGTGGTTGAGGGAGGAGGGTATCGATTCGTTTGGCTATTTAAAATAATTTTCGCGGCAGCGATATATCTGCGCGAAACAATTGAATTCTGATTCCAATTTCCGCGGGCTTTCTAGGCGCTTCGCATCCAAACACTGACACAGATACATATACATAGACTGTGTGCTAATACGGGTACGCCGAAGACCAAACAAATACTGTCAAAGAAAAGCTATCCCGCCCGCCTCCCTCGAATATTTGTCGACATACGGCAGCTGTAGGACATTAGTAATTTACTCGGAGGTAATCGAAACGAACATAAACGAACGTACATGCGTATAAATAATAGCGTCCATACTCGAGACGCACGGAAACGGAAAGCCCCTTTCACGCGAAATGTGACACCGTTAAAATCCAGCGTCCGCGACGCCACGATAATAATTGCGTTCGCAAGGACGTACGTTTAATGTTTCATAGCGAAAATAATCGCGATAATCTTTCACCGAGAAAATTACGACTTGGCCGTAAAGAGGAACCCTTGAAGTCGCGGTGGATCCGAAATCAAGCGGCTCGCGAATCAAGGTGAGAGTGGGGAAACAAATATCACAGGGTTAGAAAAAATACTCATCCGCGGCGCCGACCGCGTCAGCAAGGTGCGATTTAATGCTACGTTAAATACGACACATGCAAAGGCAAGTGATATAATTAAAATGTAACATGAACAATGGGCAAGTTTGAACATTTTATGAAAAGAAAATATGGATAATCGAGAGCGAAAAACTACTAAAAACGATATCCGTGGTGTCGTGACCGCGTCAACGATTCGAGGTGGACTTGCGTGAAACAAACGATGGTCATCGCTTGTAGTAACTAAACGATCCCAAAGATACGCGACGCTGCTTGCGATCCCTGTGTCGACGCTGTGAAAACGATTGCAGCAACGGAGGAGAGGGACGAGCATTTCACAAAATCGAATGTAGCTAAACGGCGTAGAAGCCAGTAATCATGTAAATACCGAAAGGCGATAATCGGACGTTCGCGCAACTGTGCCGAGCGTAACATCTACTGGAAAAAGTAAACATTTTTACATTTACAAATCGCAAAGGTCGATTCATGAAAGACGATAAAATGCTATTCTACGATGAAAATAAACCAGCGAAACACGAAAAGGAGCTTTCCCTGTATCTTCGGAACCGAGTCGAACGTAAACGCTCCGATCAAGGTAAACGCTACGGCAAATCGTGGTTCGTTAACACATTAATAAAACATTCGAAGATGTACTGCAAGTACAGCAAGCTAGCTGGATTCAACTATTTCGTGGAACCTGAAACTTCATGGTATAGCAGGTAATTTAGAGTCGTACGTTTAATCACGTTGAACGATAGTATGCGCCGCCGTTCTATCGTCCAGCCGAAATCTTTTTAGGGTTCTATTAATTCTGGTGTATTCGGTCATCGTGCCCGCTATGATTTACACAATTTATCATCAGTTAGATGACTTTTTCGAGAATCCCTGCTTCACAAGCGTGGACACGGAATATTTTCCCACGCAGGACTTGAATTTTCCAGGTGAATCATATATGCATTCCGCAAGAAAACATTCAATTCGCGTTAACATTAGACTGCTGTACCAAATTGGAAGCGTTTGTTTTCAGGCGTGGCCATCTGTAGCATTAATCGAATTAGTCGTCAGGCCGCCCTGGAAATGGCGAACGAAATGTAAGGATTTTCGGATATTAAACAAAGCACGAGTTCCATTCACGAAAAATGGAACCACGGTTATAACTTTGGAAAAAAGTACACTGGGTTCATTTCTACCACCACCGACTGCCATCAATCCGTGCTGGATACTCGAGAGTTTCGCACGAAATTGAATGCTTAATTTTATATTTGGCTGGAACGTTTCTTTCGTTATTCTCTTCGTCATTTACACAATTCGCACAAAACCCGTTTGTTCGCACGCCACGCTTCGCTTTAAAAACATTCGATGCTTTATATTTCATTTGTCATCGACACATAAACTACTGGACAAAATTATTCTGGACTGAAAATGATTAGAAAGTGTATCTTTCACGGTTCATGGAATTATTACGATTCGACGTTTTTCCGAATAGTTTCGAGCGGAACATTACTCGATCGTCCATCGAAGAAATTCTTGAGATGTTTACGGAGCTGAGCGTCTTGTACGATTCCGAGACGTCGGTGCTGAATCGAACCAACCAAATCCATAAACTTCTAACACAGTATTATAACGGCGATTACAATGTCACTGACATAATGAAGCGTGTAAGTAACATTCGGTAATCTCTTTTTCCCAACGATTCCACAAGAAATATTATATTTAATTAAAACGGTAGAAGCTTTGAAATTCTCGTATGTTTCATTCATGAACAATGTTGTTTTCCGTGGAAATCTCGGTTAATTACATTTTGGTGAAAAAGTTTAATAATAACACCATCAGAGGGATTTCAGCTAACGCCGCAATGCTCGGCCATACTTTCGAAATGCCGTTTCCACGACGAGGACAGAAACTGCTCGGAGGTGTTTGAGTTTCGCAAGACACAGGACGGATTCTGTTGTACTTTCAATTACGCCATCAAACAAGACGACAGAGCGTTGTGAGTTTCGAAAATTCGTTATTTTCCTGCGCGATATCCCGTTGTATCGATCTAAAAGTCACGCGCTTCGCAACGCGACACATGCATATCTACGTACATGTAACTAACCAACATTTAAGAACGGAACAGGAGTGCAGTTTTCGCGGCGCATGCTCGGGAAATGTATAAAGAGTCGAAGCTTACTTTTATTTCTTCCTCTCTCATCCCTTCGTTTGAAATTATTTCGTCGGTAACGCGGCACCGTTTCGTGCACGCAACCATATGCTTTTTCGCAGAGATGCGAAAGAACAACGAATAAAAGATAATCAGCTTTTGGAGAGTAAAATAAAATAAAATAAAATTCACTTGATTTTTCGTTGTATCTTCGCCGTAGCAACGATGCCGTCGATCACCGACTAGAACCAGCGAAGGTGGACGACTTTGGCCCAGACCAAGGTCTATCGGTCTTGTTGGAACCGTTTCTGGACGATTACTTTTATTCTATTTTCCCCATCACTGGTTGGAAGGTAAATACACTGTTTTATTTCAAACGAAATCACCAAAGCAAAATTAACAGTGTCAGAAAAAGATACAAAATTAAAATGACGGTACCATGGGCGAGATTTGTTGCACCGTTGATAGGACAGGTGCGTTCCAACAGGTGACGATTTTCAATCCTCACGATTATCCGGACACTACCAGCGGTGGAGTCTCCGAGATTTTCGTGTCCGCGGAAACGCAACAGAGCGTGGAGCTTCGTGCGATCATATCTTACGGCACGAAAAACATTATGCCAATCTCGTTGGAGCACCGACACTGCGTGTTTCCCGAGGAGATGGATTCTTACACTTATAGCGACTGCATTGTCGAATGCAGAACTAGGAACATGTGGGATACCTGCGGATGCATACCATTCTATCTGCCAAATGGTAACTCCAGTTGCATTTAAACAACGAGAAATTATTCTACACGTAATATTCGTAATTGGAATTCTTATTCGTTATTATCTATCGTAACGATGCGTTGCGAAATTTGCAAAATTTCCAACTGAATATATTATATAAAATTGCTACGGTAAAAAATACAAAAAGATTGTGCATACATAAAAACCACACGAAGGCTAGGTACATATATGTACATACATATATCGTAGATAACATGCGAGTATGCTGTGAAAGTCAAGCGATATTAACGAGTGTGTACACGTTTGCCGTGCTTTGATTAATTTTACGCGAGTTATTTACCAAGTAAATTCCCTTCAGAGACAAACTTGTAAGCAACGCTTGTTGACCCTCCCTTTGCTCGTCATATTTAACAAAATTCTGCGCGCGGGCCGCCTGTTGGCGAAAAGATCAGCTTAATAGAAAATAAATATGTATGACGGCCAGGTTTACTACTACATAAGAAACGCGATATTATTCTCACGAGATGCAAATCGAAGGAAGGAATATCTACTATCTATTAGGTAGTTGATATCGTTGCATCGTAAGGCGATACTAACGAGGAATATAAGAGGAAAATACTTTTGTTTTCGAACGAATCTATTACGTTAGTTATCGTTTCGTTTAATTAAAATTACACGGTTAGAGCAATTGAATCCTATCTTGGTTTATTGCTTTTCAGATTCCAAGAGGGTCTGCAACTTGGAAGACGTGCCGTGTTTGTCGCAGCACAAACGTAAGCACCTTCGAAATCGAAATCCACGTTGCATAAATTATGAACCACCGTCGAGCTGTTTAGTATTCACAGCTGCATCGTGTTACATTCCACGCGAGGCGTGCCCCCGATTAATTAACCCACCCAAGTCGGATTCTGCCACAGTTGCAGAAATCAAACCTAAATCCGTTTAAATGACAATATCGTCAGTGACGCCGTTATATAGCGAATACAAATGTATTATATCGCAAAGTAGCTGCGCGCTATCGAACGGCAGGAAACGTAGTTTGGTACGCTAGTAAGCGAAGAATTGAGAAATTAGAATACCGAAATGAGAGAATTTTAAATGCGAATTTAAAAGGGAGCGCTTGGAAATCCTGTACCATTCGTCTGAAATCTTTCGAACTAATCGTTTGACTCTTTCTTAAATTACAGATAAATGGTTTGCCGCCATGCCTCACGCATATCACCATGGCGTTGATACAATAGACGATAACGAAGTTTTGATTTGCAGCCATTGCTTTCCCACGTGTAACGACGTGACATACAGTCTACAGTCTACATTCTATGCTTGCATGACTCGTGATCGTCATCAAACTAAACTACTGTGGGTATCGGGTCGGAGCATTTTTTCCGATGTTTCACAGAAAAAGGTTTAAGTCACCGTATAAAGTACGAAAGCATTAAAAAGAGAAAAAAAAAATAAGCGACAAGAGCTCGAGTAATCGTAACAACGTAATCGATTTGTACCTATATAAACGTAATTTGCAATATTTGTGAAATATTTAAAAATACTCGTCTTCTTCTCCCGAAGAAGATGTAGAAGAATGTGCACGCACGAAGGTGACATAAGCCCTTTTTATTGAACATACAAAATGGACTGGTACGTTTCATACGTATGTCTTCTAATTAGTCACGTTAAAATGATTTCCAAGGAACGGCGTCGACTATGCGAATCAAAGCACCGTGCAAGTGTACTTTACTCGTGTTGGCACGGTAAAGCTGAAACAAAACGTGGCCAGTCAGTGGTACGATCTTTTGAGTGAGTACAGCGTTTCTAGGATGCTTATTCAGTATTTAATTTAGTTCTAAGCGGTCTGTAACAGTCACTGTCCCGACTTGGTTAAATGAATATAGGAGAAGAGAAAGTCGACGTGAAAAATAGTAAAATTTGTATTAAAGAGAATTTCATGAAAACGGTACTGAATAAAATTTGAAAGCAGGAGGTTAAGGATCGCGACGCAAAGGCAAAGGATTTCGTTGTGTAACGTAGGGGATTGGTAGCATAAAGTTTCCGCGCGAATGTAATCTGTTGCCTCGAGCCGGAGGAAATAAAAGCGCAACGAAACTGCTTCTGTACGAGTTGATCCATTATGTTAGAGACACACTCGCTCGGTAGGTGTTACAAGTAGTGTAATGCACTCGGGATAAAGGACTTGTTATCTTTTGTTACGAGAATTCTCCTACACCGTGGAACGCGCCAAAGTGGAACGTTTTTGTGTCGCAGCCGGTGTGGCACGGGCTCGGACACGGACACGGTCGTGACGACGTGCATAATTTCACGTCTGCGTAACAGAAAGATAGGAGCACCCTTCTTACGTGGTTAACAGCATTTTAGATACGCAAATTCGATGTAAATTCACGTTGAATAAAAACGGGAGATTTAGTTTGTTTTGTTCGCGGTTCGCGGGATCATAATTTATAATTTTTTAATTCGTACTTACGTCGTTTGTTACTTTTACAAATCCATTCGTTTCGTATAATTGTCATTTCGGTAGGTTTTTATGGTCTCCAGTGGCTGTGCGAATAATCGTAAATTTCTTGCAGGTCTCATTAAATGTTTAATTTAATAGTTATTTCAAGTGTTCCGTTAATTTGACTCGGACTATAGAATGTTGGAATTTTTCAGGCCAGGCCAGTGGAATCGGTGGCATCTTTATTGGTTTCAGCCTCATCGCCATCGTGGAGTTGAGTTATTTCGTCGGGCTTTTCGTGTTGGAAGTTTTAAAAGGACCAGATTCCTCTGACGGTATCGAAGATGAAACTGAGCGTAAACAGTTACCGTTACAGACAATTTATTGGGGCGAATTGTATCCGAGAACGAGACTCGAGACGATGGCGAACCGTCCAGAACGAATTGCTTTTAAATAATAACGTTACGTATCTTAAACATCTGCTTACGTGTACGTATGTATATGTACGTACTTGCGAGAGTAGGACAAAAGTTGTTTACGTGTGAGGTGGAAAAAACCAAGATTTGACAATCTTCGTGGCAGGATCGTGCATTTTCTTTTCTAGTAATAAACAACGAACGCTTCGATAATAATTTCACGTTGCTTTAAAAAAAATGTATGTTCTTCTGCATAAATTGCACATTGCATTGAAAAATACTTGTTGGCAGGTTTATTTCAATTGTACTTATAGCAATCTCGATAGTATACGTACACATACGTATATGGATTCGGTATCAATAGCATTCCTTGCGAGATCTGTGAACTAGTCGCAACACAAATTTTCATTCCGTAGAAACATCGCAAGGGCAGAATGTGCTTGGAACCACGCGCATACGTTTGCGTTGGCGTTTAGGTATCGACAAAAGGATGGTCGTCGAGCCGTGGACAGGCGGGAAAACGGTCGAGTCACGGAGATTCGATTAACGTCGTGTAAACTTGATCTAATTTGCGTGAACCGGTCGTTGCTAGACCGGCTGTCGGGGTTGCATGATAACTGCCAAAGACGGTTACGTTCGACGAACGACGCATTTTTATAACGAAACATGTATCTACATATGTACATATACAATTCGATGACGTAACATCCTACGAAACGACCGCGACCTACCGCGAGATTATCATTGGTTTAGTCTCATATCTTAACATTACACTAAGGGAAACGTGTCTACGAACTCTTTTTTTTTTGTATAACCTGTAGCTGACGATACATGAGATAAGCGAGTCGCAACGATAATTGAACGTTGCGAGAGATACATATGCGCGACCTTTCCGAAGACGAATTGCAGTGTCGCGCAGGCGACACGTGTTGCAAGCAAAACAAAGCTACGATCGGTTTTTCGATCCGCATAGAAAACATTGCAGAGAGTGCAGTCGTCGAGGAAGTTTCGATGTTGAATCGTTGGCGTCGTGTAACCACAAGATATGCAATAGCTTTCTGCGCCGTAAGTAATCGGTTGTTTGCAGTGTGTACACAATTAGTTTGGCGCTAGTCTCTTTTTTTTTAAACGAAACGCTTCGTATGTAGTATCGCGCATAAAATGCACCACGTAATTGTAAAATATTAAAGTACGAAACTATCTGTACGCGTATGGAGAATTTTTTTTTCCGTATAGGATTCTTCCGAATCTATACTCCGAGTCAGAAATGTCTCGGTTAAGTCTGGGTTATTTCGTTTCGTTTTCTTTAAATTAGAGCCACAGATACACTAACGGTACGTAGATACGTACGTATGTATACTAACGACAAGTGAAAAACGTCACGCGCAACCGTCTATCGATCGTAAATAAGCTGATACGATGGCGAACACATTTCGCAGAGTATAATTGTCATAATAGCTGTTATCTCTCATTCTCTTCAACGATATACACCGCAAACCAGGTGCATACTGTTTCAGTTCACGCGTAACGATGTATGTACATGTGTGTACGTGAAAAGGATCTAGTAGAATAAGGATAGGCAATCGGCTCCCACCCCGGTTTTCATTGCTATTATGTGCCGTGCAACGCTTTTGGCCTAAAACATCGTTCCACAAAGTTTCAGACTATTACCACCCCGTTTAAGAGTAATATGAGGGTAAACACTCTTAACTTTATTATTTTGTTTTCTCGGTTACTATTTCAGATATTTAAATTCTGCGAAAACGAAATATTCGTACTTATAAACTGCATCTTGTATATTTTTTTAATTATTAAGGGTAGAAAATAAATAATTTATTTCTTGCGGGTGGTATTTGCAATGAACCCTGAGAGTGACACATATGAAGAAAATCAGGAATGATGATCGATTATTTAGCTGGCACATGTAAAAGCTTCAGAACAGTCGGAGTCCTGGAACATGGTTAAATAATTAAAAAGAAACAAAAATCCCATGCGTTACGCCCCGTGCATGGGGCTGAAGGAGAATACGCTACGCGCATCGTACACGGCTGAAGGAGAATGAGATAATGTCAGACACACTATGCACATAGTTACAGCTATGCATACGACAGGGACTGCATATTTTCACTGCAACAGTCTAATAGCTTATAAAACAATGAATCGACCAAGGTTCAATATGTTAACGTCACGTGACATTTAGTTCGTTTCATATTGCATGTTTTGTTTCTTTTTAATTATTTACAACTAAGTTACAATCCATCGAGCGACGCACAGCGCGTGTTTGTAAACAACGTCTAGATATCGTTTAAGAAATAATCAATTACAAAGTTGTTGAAATTGGTTACCTCCCTTCCGTCGGCAGGCTGCCGAATGCATATAGCTGAACGATACGCGTATTGTGTCTGACAATATTATTCCATTCTCCTTCGGCCCATTGCACGGACCGTAACGCACGGGATTTTTGTTTCTTTTTAATTATTTAACCATGTCCCAGGACTCCGACCGTTCTGAAACTTTTACATGTGTCAGCTAAATAACCGATCATCATTCTTGATTTTTTTGGTAGGTGTCACTCACAGGGTTCTTTGCAGTTACTACCTGCAAAAAAGTAATTATTTCTTTCCTACCCTTAATAATTAACAAAATACGGTCATACAAAAATACAGTATATACAAACAAACACAAACATGTTGGTTTATGTATTCGTTATTACGAGAACCCGTTTACTCCGAGTTATTTCTTGAGAACAAACGTAATTAATTATATTTTCGATTTTCGTAGGATTCGAAGCGTGTAATATCTACCCACGTACGTAGTTGTACGAATACCTCGCGGAAATTCGGCCATTCATTCTCTACGTTCTCGTTACACGAACGATGGCTACAACGAACGGTGAAATGCCGATTGTAAGCCCGCAACACAAAGATAAACGCGGCGTTTCGTATGGATGGGTTTCACAAGGTGCACGCAAACGATCCTCGCAATCGAGCTGCTTTCGAACATTAACAAAATGCTTTAAGCTGTACTGCAAACATTCCAGTTTGGTGGGCCTCAAGTATCTGGTGGAAGATCGAGCAACGTGGTTCGATAGGTAAATTGAAATCGACGGAAATACAAGTTAATACGTCGCGAGCGTTGCGACGTATGCACATTGTAATCGACGTTTCTTCGATAAAGATGACAAGTCTGCATACGTATAATATCTTTAAGCTATACATAATATTATACCTGTCATAATATTATAATATTATATTATTATAAAGAAAAAGAAAGAGAAAGTGAAAGTAAAAAAAGCTATTTATGGATGGTAACCGATGAAAACTATCGTTCGAATCATTTCAGAACTGTATGGATTGTGGCATACATGTGTACTGTATTCGTGGTGTCCCTTTTCTCTCTGGTAATTTATCAAGAGTTCATTGATACACCTATAACAGCCACACCCGAGGCAGAACCTTATCATACTCGAGACGTTGAGTTCCCAGGTAGATTCGTGGAGATTCGTTAACCGTCACTAATTGCGAGCTACTTTAATGCGAGCTCTAATTTTCTGTACCTTCAGGTGTCGCTATTTGCAGCATTAACAGAATAAGTCTCCGGAAGGTGACAGAATTGGCGACTGAAATGTAAGCAATAACCGAGCATAAAATAAACACAAGTACGGGAGACACGAGAACGTAGCATTGTTTTTAGGGATAGGACTTGTACCTAATTCATAATCAAACAACAGGATTTAGCATTGTCGCCTGCAATGTGGAAAATTGTATCGCACAGGCAATTTCGATAATTGCACTCGAAACACTCGCGCGCGCGCGCGTGTGTGTGTATGTGTGTTTATTTGTAATTAAATTAAGCAAGAAATACAAGCAGTAAAGAGCATAAACGTGATCCAAATAATGTATAAAAGCGGGGAGTTAGTTCTAGAGATCCTTAAAGTTTCTCTAGAATTAACGAACAAATTTTCTTTTGAAAATGTTCCAATGTGCTTTCACGAAGACATTTCAATCAATTCGGAGACAGATATAACGCCAATATTTCTAACCTGACTCTCGACGAAACGCTCGGAGCACTCTGGACGCTCGGTGGTTTTTACGAGTCACCGTACGCGGAAGCTGATAATTACACCCAGGTTACTCTACTTCTCTCCGAGTTTTACAACGATGACTATAATATCACTGACCTTATGATGAGCGTGAGTAACGTTAAGCGTCGTCTAAATTGTCATTACGCGATTTACCAATGATATTTTCGCGTCCCTCTATGGTCGTATCTTTTCTCTTTTTCTTTTAACAATTACTTTAATAAGAAGAAATGGAATTTCAGCTGACTCCGGAATGCTCGGAAATGCTCGTGCTTTGTAAGTTTCAAAACGAGAAGGAAAATTGTTCAGACATATTCACGCTAAGTCGAACGGAGTTTGGATTCTGTTGCACTTTCAATTACATCCCGGACGACATGCTCGAGTATGTTTCGAGAAACCCTCTGTAATTCGCGTCACGATGTTCTCATTTTGGTATGTAATTTTCCAGATCTGAGAAAAAAGCACGGCGGGTAGAAAACACGGGCAGAGAAAACGGGTTAACGTTGGTATTGGATTCAACTACGGATGATTATTTCTATCCCATTTTGGCTACTACTGGCTGGAAGGTAATTCTTTTTTTTTTTTTTTGCACAAATAATGTTCGCATCGGACCGAAGAACTCGATACATTGTACGGATTTTTGATTAATTTTCTATACGTACTCGTCATCAGGTTATGGTATTCGACCCAAACGATTACCCCGACATGAGTACCGGCGGTGTGATGGAGTTTCTGCTCGCTCCATTAGCCGAGAAAGACGTGGTACTGAATGTAGTCGCATTACGCAGCAGCGAAAATATTCGGTCGTATCCTATCGACAAACGCGGATGCTACTTTCCGGACGAAAGACCATCGATTTCCATCACTTACACCGCCAGCGATTGTATACTAGCCTGCAAAATAGAAGATATATGGAATAACTGCAAGTGCAGACCATTCTTTTACCTCCAGCCACGGCCAACGGAACCCTCCATCAAGATTTGCACAACAGAAGACTTACCGTGTCTGAGGAAATACAGAAATAAAAGATTTTACATAGTACCTTATCCAGATGAAACATTATCTTCTCTAATAAACAATAGCCGAACGCTCTACTGCCGAAATTGTTATCCTTCGTGCGAGGGTAACACATATATAGCTAGCAGTTATGTTCTTGATTTGACACCGGATGACTTCGGTAAATTCTCACGTTACAACGTCAACTCGACAACTTACAGTCTTCTTCATATGTATTTCGGAAAAAGCGAAATAACGTGTTTGAAGCAAGACAAAAGCTACCGATGGTACGAGTATTTGAGCGATGCCGGTGGCATTTGCGGATTCTTTATTGGCTTTAGTCTGATCAGTGTTATCGAAATCGTTTACTTCAGCGCACTCTTCTTTTTGGAATTGTTGGGACACGAACCTGACCTCGAAGCTGATAAAGAAGATGAACAAATTTCGCATAACCAGCTACCGATACCAACCGTGTACTGGAGCGAGTTATTGCCACGTTCGAAAATTAGAATAAGAGAACCTAAATAATTGAAACGATCATCTATTTGTAACGTTTATTTTTACATGCTCTCGTACCGAGTGTAAGCGAAACTTGTACTTATCATACCCCATGTACAGAATCGTTTCATTAATAACGCAACTGCATTTACGTTACTTATCTTTCGCCTGTAATCAATTATAACAATAAGATGGATAGTACGGTAACACTTGGTAAAAAAAAAAAAAAAAAAAAAAATTAAAAGGAAGGAAAGGAAAGGAAACAGTACTTTATTCATAACAACAATAAAATTATAGGTGTTTTTTTTTTCTTCTTTTTTATTAACGAATATCAAACAGATCGTATAATACGATACGACGCGCAAAGTTTTACGCAATATCATCGGCATTTTCATTATCATACAATTTAATAGTTGCTAATTCCGTAAATTGTAATAAATCTTCCCTGTTCTGCTTGGTATCTATTGCTACTATTTTTTTTTCATTTATATCATTACGTTTCTGCTTTGCTTGATTTTTGAAATCTAATATGGACATTGATTTTAGGTTGTCTATAACTACGCTAACGTTAGCTTTTCTGTAATCAGTATCCCGGTTTCCGAGCAAAGACAGCGCTTCCTCGTACGGTGGCGCGATTGGTGTCTGCACCGGTGCCTGATATTTGTACTCCTTTCCCTCGTACTGCAAACAATTATAGCATAGACTTATAATTCGCTGAGAAAACATAGATGCAACTAACTTACGTCAAGGGGGTAACACGTGTCAGAATCGGGCTGAGTGAGATCACCGCAGACGACAAATGGAACAATGACCCTATTAGCTCCGGTGAGATTACGGAAATCACATTGCTCGTGCGTTAAGAGAGGATTCAACATGTGAGGTGTGTATCCCTTGGGAGGCGAGTATTGTTTGCACACTACGAATGCTTCTATACTCGAGTTACGCGAGCTGCTTGGTTTCGTGCAATAAACATAAGGGAAAAATATCTTTAGTTGAGAGTAGAGCAGCGATACATCCTTGGCACGAAATATTTTTGCCACAAATGTGCCTCCTTCTCTCAGTATGTAGGTAGTAATGTTCAAAGCAGCTAGTAGTAGTTGCGACTGAATGTAAATATCCATATCGTGAAGACCTGTAACTGTTGTTGATCGGCGCATGAACATTTGTCACCAGAATCAATGTACAATAATAATAATTATAATAAAAGCCTACCATCCGGTGCCCCATCACAAACTACTAAATCTGCTTGCTCGTGGTTAAAGTGAGCTATAATTTGCTCTGCTGTATTAGCATTAGTAATATCCCCCTGGAGTTGTATTACTCCTTCTAACGGTGCCATAGCTTGCAAATCAACGGCAACTATTTTTGGAGGTGTTGCGTTTCCCATCTTGGAAGCCTCTTTATAGTTTTCACTGGGAATACAGAAAACATAAAAATGTATCATCTATTCTATAGCAAAATATTTGGCAGCAATCGATGTAGTAATTATATGAATGCATACTTTAATCTACGGGATAAAACTTGACTCCAGCTACCAGGCGCCGCACACAAATCTACCGCTTTGTTCACTCCTATTAATAAACATATAAAATAGTGTAGTATCAATACATGCGGTGTTATATATACGTACCATCCAAGATGTGACATTCATTGTCTATTTGGAGTAACTTAAAGGCGCTCCTTGCCCTCCAGCCTTCTTCTTTCGCTCGACGATAGTATATATCCCGTTTATCTTTCGATGTTTTTCCCATGGTTTATTAACAAAAGTACAAAAACTATGTATACACTTATTTATTTCACGTATAGGTTAATTCGAATGATAGCACGGAAATTGTCAAACAAATTGTGTATAGTTAGGTTAGTATGTATCGTGGGTACGCGAACAGCTGTTTCCAACGCTCGAGCGGGAGTGGTGATGATGAGCATCACAGGCATATGCGACCTTACCGAATGTTATTTACGTCATCGGTTGATGGTAAGAAGGTATAGAACGTGAAATTTGCTAGACTTACGATGTCTCCTCACAGAGGGCATCAGCGTGCAAAGGGTTAAATTGAAAGTCGCGGTATCGTACGCCGGTAATTATATTAGACTATGCCGTTTGAAGGTAAGGCAGACAAGTACTAGTCCATACTAGAGATGACGGTTTTGAACGGGTATTAAAATACACGGGTACACGGAACACGGGTATTTTTAATTTTATTAGATCAACTAATTATTAATAGTTTATTTATTTGTAAAAAAGGGAACGGTAAATAATTATCATTGAATGTCGTTTCTTTGTTTTACAGGTAAGAAATGTACACATCCTTTGCTTCTTTCAATGTTTCTCTATCAATCATGTTTGCCATAAAATTGGAAAAGTGAATTGTTCGTTAACGAGTCGAATATGACTTAGTAATCGAGGATTACTTCTAAATAACGTAAAATACAATTTTCTGTTTACGGAGCGATGAGAATGACATAACTCAGACATTCCGCGAAGCATTTGTTCGTTGTACGATATTAGAGTTCCAAGAAATCGGTATTTATTGTACGCAGCACGACAGTAATATTTATCCGAGTTAAAGTTTTGTGTGCGGCAGCACGTAATAAATTGGATTAAAAAGACATCAATTATCGGTCGTCTCGCGGGCACAATAGTTCATTCACCTCGAGACAATTCAGTGAGCACGTGGCGACCTTTATGCAGCGGCACGAATTGCATACGACCTGCGTTCTATCGATAATTTTGTTCCCCTTCGAAACGTATTGTGAAAACTGCATGAATTCAGCATAATAATGACGGTACATCGAACAAGAAGAAAAGAAAATTTCTACGCGAAAACATTGCGAGAATACTAATCGTAAGTTTTCCGTAGGATTCTGGGTTACTTTATCTCCTTACAATCCAAATTATTGTTAGGTTCTGAATTGGGAGTGTCAACGCCGATTGGGAAACACTAGTGTAGACAGCGAAGTTTAGTTATATTACATTCAGTTATTACATTTGAACGATCGATGCAAAATAAAATTTGTACACAAATATAGAAAGGAGAAACGTACTTTAGAGATGGCTTGCATTCATCATGTCATCGTTTCTCCTGGATTCATTCCAAACCTTGACTAATCCGTGTAAAGTTCGTCGCGATGCTTGGATAGGATCGCTGTTCACTGCGTCCTGCATCCTTGAGAGAAGTGTTTACTTAAGCACACTCTACGAGCCTTTATCGTGTCGTGCTTGAAATTATTTATCAATGCGAATGGCGAATGTGCCGCCTTGTATACGAAAAGTATATGTACGTTGCATTATTTATAACTATCTGCATACCGACGAAATCCTGCCTTGTTTAACGTTAAATTATTCGCAATCTTCTAATTTCATGGAGCGAAACTGAAAATTAATTTTTATGTTCAATATCTAAGTTTGTAACCGCTTCTAAATTTATTATGATACAAATAACATATATTGGTATGCGTCTTTTACGGTTTCTCTCAGGTGGTAAGACCAAAGTGTGTTACTCCATTACTTCATTACTCCGATATGTAAGTTATTATATCCACGAACTTACGTTATCTCATGTAAAATTTCGTAAAATAGTGCTTAAGTTTCACTGTATCATATTATGTAATTATTTAACCTGGTTATCAATAAAAAAGAACATATCCCAACTATTCTCCTTTTATGCTCGAAGCTGTACACCCGTAATCTGTTTCAAAGTCGAAGAAAATTGACAGTGACAGTAATGATCGAATTCGTTTGAAAGAGTGTCCAAGGAATATGGCGCCAAAAGAGTCCGCGACTTGAAAGAGCGGCGCATGCGCAACGACGAGGGACGCGCCGAGTGTAAACAAAAGTGGAGGTGACCGCGTGGTTTGGATCAGTGCGGCGACGACTCTCGCGGTCGAAGGAGTCAGCGGAAGCGTCTTTTCCTTTTTCCAAATCTTCAGTCACTATCGGGCGATTCGCTGGTTCGCAACGTTAATTCTCCGACGATACTCTCCAACGAGAAGAACGTGTCGAGTTTTATCGACAAGAACGGCGGTCCCGATCGGAGGACAGTGATCGAGGTTCGAACGGAACCGAAAATTGGAGTTTCGTCAACAGTCGATCGAGTCAGTCCGCTGAAACGTTCCACCAATGAGATATTATTAAATCTAAACGAATTCGTGATATTAATTTCTACTCGCCGCCTATCAAATGACAGATAGTGCTCTGATATACGTTTCCTGTGAGGATCGTTGAAGTGCAGCTCTGCCGTTACGATTCTTCACTGAAAATTATTTCTCTCCGTACTCTTAATCCGAAGAATTTGCAAGAAGAAGACTGGCCATCCCGGTGGCAGCAAGTTTTGTCAAGTTTGTCTGAGTTTTTGTAACTCGATCGATAGAGGCAAGTTGATTCGACGCGGCAGTTGTGGCCTGGTGCACGCGCAAGCTGGCTTGAATAAGGGCCTAGGGAGTGCAGGTAGTCTCACAGAAGGGTCCAGTCGCGACGTTGTCAGATTTCCCGAGAAAGTCGACCATCCGGTCTAAGGCCTGCGTGTAGCAACAGCGCTTACGGAGTTACGAGAGCGATGCGATAATAGAGTACCAAAGGTACACGATAACCACGCAGCGATACGCGCCGAAAAACCAACAAGAAAGCGACGCTTAGGAATAGCTAGGGGACAATAACAATGCGTTGACAGAGGAGTTGCTCGAACTTTCGCTTTTCAATAGCGCATATATTTGCACGAAGGGGAGTAAAGATAAAGGAACCGAGAGAATTTACAATTGCTCGAGATCGACGATACCGTGTGCGCGCCACGTTGAACGAACCATATATATAATGAAGTCCCTGAATCGTTGCATTGTCGATCGCGTCTCCCAGACTTCCGCGTGAGATAGACTCTGAAGTTGTTGAAAACGTTCGTGAAATTGAAAAAGTACCAGACGAGGCATAGATCGATTAACTTTCCTCGGCTCTTGTTACGAGAATCGTACAAAATGTCACTCACCTCGACGAACGATTGGAACGAAACCTTGTCGATGATGGAATTGAACGCGACCATGACCGTACCCAGCGTTGTTTTGAACACGTCGAAGAGACACGTGGCTCTCGCTTCTCAGGTGGTGCTCACCCTTGTGTACATAACCGGTGTAATCGGCAACGTGTCGGCTCTAGTCATTCTCTTCCATCGGGATAAGGTAATAGCAGCTCTCAGAGAAATTAATAAAGTTACGAGCGATTGATGGGGGAGAGTCGACAAAATCGTACCAGTTACGATGCTTTCTTGTATTTCTCGTTTGGTGGTAATTTGTAGGCAAATTGATATCAAGGCTTGATCCTTTAGACACCTATCATTACGTCTTAAATTTTTCACCGAAAGCAACTTAATCCCTGATAAGCTTTTCTATTAAATGGTATGAAACGGTGATTTTTTAGACCCCGTGTTATGGCGACGATTCCGTTGATCTTTTATTTCCTAATGTTTCTTAAACTATTACTATCTTACGTTAAAGAAATAACAAATTTTTTTTTTTAAATAGAAAAATATAGTGTAAAGGTATAAGTATAGTGTTTATAGGTTAAATATAAATATATTTTGATTCGTTTGGATTCTATTCAGTAAAAACACAGTAAGATATACAAATAAACAACATCCTACCGATCTATTTCTTCTCAGGAGAACAATTTTAGAAACTGCATGAAAACGAAAAACAGGTAATATCAATTTGATTCGAAATTTTCTAAAAGACAAAATTTTTCAATATTTCCATTGAATATGAATTTATTCGAATAATTTTGTACGCGTTGAGTAATTATGACAAGTATTAGCGTTGGATGCCTCCTCTCGAGTAATGTATATTTCGGAGTGAAAACGTTCACAAATCGTAAAATATCGTAAAAAATGATTCAAAGAAACGTTTCCCTGAATTATTGACACATTCACAACTCGTTGACGTGATTCTACGTCATTTTTAAATCTGTAACTATTTTCCGCTGGCGCGATTTTATGTATCACTTTATATTTATATTTCAAACTACATGTGGTTACCGACACACACAGGAATTCTTACTCCAATCGTAGAATAGGACGATCCTAACCGTTGAAACAATTAGGAAATTAGCAAAAATCGCATTTAATATTAATTGCAATGAATCTTTTCTTTAAAAAACTAGTTTAAATCTAGAAGCAAAAGAAGAAACCGTTGGATCTGAGTTTTTAGGAATCGAAACGCAGCATTGCTCATAATTATTTCTATTTCTGTACGAGTTGGACAAAGCGAGGATTATACTGTATCAAGCTGTATTTAATAAATAAATTTAAGTTGTATCGAGTAGAAGAATCAACTTGATTAATACTAGACGAGAGTCTCCATTTACTCGGCAAGAAATATTTCACTCTATAATGCTTTCGTTTTGGAGTAGTATATAGAGTTTGTCTTTTACTGGTTTTTCGAAATTTTCGTTTGGTTAAGAGTTTTATCAAATTCCTGCACTCTGTTCTATCGCTACTTTCGTTGGATTCTGTTGCACTCTGTCCTACCAGTCGATGCAGAAAAGATGAAAGAGTTTCCCTCAACAGGAAAAATCGCGGGAGGTTTCCTAACTTCGATTCTTTCACTCGCGAAACCTTTGCGATACTTTAGTGTTACGCGTAAAAAAATGCGTACTCTGATACGCAAACGATAATATTCTTATCAGTTGCAACTTAATGGGTAATCAGCAAGAAAAAATTAAATTATCGTACGTTGATGTTTACGTCTTATTATGGTAAACATCGGTATGAATATTAACTGTACAAATCTATTTTATCATTTGCAAGTATTACATAGGTATAAATACTTAATTGAAAAGTCACATCCATCAAATAGATGTTTACTGTAAAAAATAAAGAAGGAAACTCTTTACATACGGATTGGAAGTAATGCAACAAAGAAAATGTATTTTTTTTTTTATTTCAGAGGAGAAATCGAAAACACCTGCTGATGCTGCGTTGTTTGGCCACGAACGATCTCGTTGCGTTGTTGGGGATGTTGATACAGATGTACATCACAATTTACGTGGGCAGCGTGATATCCACGAGGGGATTCTGTTCTCTTCGAGTCGTATGGAGGCTTTTCGGTTTGTTCAGTGGTTGTGTGGCCATCGTAATGGCTGCTGAAAGGTGGCTGGCCTTGACGAGACCCTTCGTTTATCAAAAGGTAAGTCATGATCTTAGATAACCTTGTTTAGAGGATTTGAAGAACATCGTTTCTAAGGTCGATACACGTTTATCGTTGTTCCCTTCCTCCGCACCACATTTAATGTCACGTTCACAAGACTTTCTTAGCGTTAGATAATCCTTACTTTCGAAGTGTATTAAATGAGAGATTAGAAACCAATTAGAGAATCACGTTTCTGTGTTGTAGGAGAAAAATAACTAGTATGATTTCAGAAATGGAAACTGTACTATTTGTACTTGTACTTGTATTTTTATTCATTTACACTTACCGTAGAAAATCTAAAAAATAAACACGATAGAATAATTACGTGCTCCTTTAAACTGTCATTCATATCGTTTGGTTCTTCTGTTTGACACATATACTGTATCGTATATTTTTTCTAGTATTAAATTACTCATCTTGCATAGCGATACAATCATTCGAATAGATGATTCTTCAATCATTTTAAACACTATGCATTGCCAAGAATGCAAAATTCATTCAAGGTTCATCCAATTTGCTTACATTTGAAGCACACCTAACTGTGCGTCGCATGAAACGTAATATAAAACAGCATTTCGTAGCTTTCAATGTTGACCCCCCAGTTATTTTAGGCAACGTAATCGCTACATATATTCTGACGCAGAGATTTCATTAAAACTATTAAAATTTGTTTGTCAACTAAGAAAATGATAGCTTTAATCACTATTCCTAGAATGTTCGATGTTACAGTACAGTAAACAGAAAAGTGATAGTTTCGGTAACGATATTAAAAATCTGAGAAAAGTTGTCGCGTGGTGTTACGAAGATACGGGTAAGTCTATAAAGATAAAAGCGAGGAAAGACGTTCCTACAGACGAACAGTCTTCATGGGATTTATCTGTACGTGATAAGGGTCACGTTACGTGGGTCGCAATGTATGTATGGACCTGACCCATTTTTTAACTACGTTTACTTTAAGTAGTGTGGACACCATTCGAATGTGACAACACTACTTAACACTTTATTGATATTGTACGTCTAAAACGTACGAATGATTCTATACGCTTGGACAATAAACATCGAAATGTTAAATTATTTTACAGATTTATTTACATATCCTTGGAGGTTGCTCCAATCTGGAGGATTTAAATGTTATAATAGGTGTACCGTGTTCGATTAAGATAGTCAAATTTGTTCTTTGTTTACTACATTTACAAGCACCACTACTGACAAAAATATCGATTTACTTGGAAGTAGTGATGTCATTTATCAGTACCCTATACCAACGCGACGTCCATTGCACACGTTTCGCTGACAGAATCGTCGATAGAGGAGGACTTTCGCATTGAAATTCTTGAGATTCCGTGGTCGTTGTACCTACAAATCGGATGGACAGCGCGGGAATATTAACTTCGTCATTTCGATTTTACCAGCGAAGCCTTTGTATCGATTTGCCTCCTTTTAAGACGCGACGGAAATAATTATTTGAACCGACTCCGAAACAGCTACCGTCGTAACACAATCCGACTTCCAAACAGCTTCCGTTTAATCCTTTTTTGTCTGCATAGTTATAATATTTAATAGCCAATGGAATATAAATACTTCTCTCAAATTACAAATTTCAATTTTTTACTCGGAAAAATGTACCATTTATGCTTCTCTGAACATTAGGGGAACTAAATCACCGCAATATATCATTTCTCTAGAATTGAGTTAGTATTCTAATGCTTCCAAATGCTGTCCAAGTTACAAATTAGATAAAAGTACTTGGACATATTTAGTTTTTATCCCTAGACTATATCCGACTAGAAATGTATTTCAGATTTCAGCCCCGAATTCAGTATTGTCAAAGTCTTCATTCATAGTATGACCTATGTTGATGTATAAATATTTGCAAGTTAAGATCGAGAAGGAGACATACGTGCGTTTCGATACTGACTTCCTGTCGTTGCTCCGGGCCAAGGAAGGAAACGTTAAGAGTTCACGAACTCGAATCGCATTGCTTTCAAAATGATGGAGTAACGTAATGCGTGGCGTTATATTTAACTCGTTGTTATACTTTTTTCTCCAAACACTTGCGTTGCAATAAAACGAGGACAACACCCGGACCCTCGAGTCGTTATCATCATAACAAATTCTGTGGTATTCTCGTATCGTTAATCGAAATTGTTGCAATTCATCTTAGGTGCGTGCTTCATCCTGTTGTTATTCCCTTCGCAGATTTCCGTGAGATTTTTAGGAATAATATGCTAAACGATACCAAATTTTTATAAGGGGAATAACTCTCCATGGTTCTGGCATTGTTTACCAGTCCCCACTCTTCGAAAATCAAAGAGTCCAATTGTTACAGCAACTCTGTAAACTTAAATTATATTTACAATATGATTTACGATATAATTTAAGTTAACAGAGTCAATTTGTCTGTTTTGATTGCTAAGCCTAACGTTGTGGCGTGTGCTTGTGTATTCTATCCTTCTTGAAGAACTGTAATATAAACGTATAATCTCACACATGTCAACAAATTCTACTTCTACATATGTATTGTTAACAACATGTGAAGCGAATAAAAATAATCTTAGGGACGTATATCGTGTATCAGTTAGTGTTACCAGATCATTGTAGGTGCGATTACTATTGGCCACCGAATATTTTGAGTAATTCGGAGAATCGTGATTAAGGAAGGTCATGGGTCATCATAAAACGGTTATATGCCACGAATTCCGCGATAGTGATAACCAGCAATAGCTTCGAAAAGACCTGAAATTGTTTCTGGGAAAGAAGAAGCTACGTGATCGAGAACATGGTGTCGAATCACATGCTTTTCGTCTGTCTTGAGCATTGTTTGACCTAGAAAAGAAATCGCTTTTCACCCGATACTGGTTACAATATGGGTTACGTCGGAGCGAACAGCTCGTGACCTATATTGTGACCCAAATATGGCCAACGGTTACACCTTCTCACTTTTCACTTACTGTATTCGATAATGCACATCAGACGGGTTTGATAGTTATTATTAAACTTTTCACTCTTCGCTTCGTCTCTTGAATTTTTTTGGCCTGTAGATTCAGAGCATATTGCCAAACTTTCTTTTACAAGCTGTGGACATACTTATAACCAGCCGTTGGATCTTGTTTCCGTATCGAAGAGATTGGCGTGATGAATTTAGTATATAAGCACGAGATTTTAGAAAGTGGAAGGATTTGGGTACAACTCAATCTTTTATAGTGTTTGTTTAGAGTCGTCTAATACAGTAGAAAGCGAAAGTGGCGATTTGTTGCAAATTAGCAAGGCAATAATTGTAACAAGAGACTTTTTTCCTCGGAGAAAAGAGACATTCTGTTCTCCTATTTCAAAGTTCGTGTTTTGACTTTTGACAGGCAGTAATCCGAGGTCAGTGAAATTAAAATAAACCACTCATTGAGAGATGCGAATGTGCCTTAAAGATTTACCTTTTTCTTAAGATACGTGTAACCTCGCACGTACAATACTTTCATTAAACTCTGTAATACACATCGACGAAATTGGATACAACAATATCTCCTTTCGAGCTATAGCCTTCGCTAGTTTTCTTGCATAAATCAGAAAGAATAACATTCGTAGTAAAATTAAGAATCATTAAAATCGTTAACGTACTTTAATTAGAATCTGAGTTTAATATAGAATAAATGCTTGACAATTAATAAATTCTGATTTCTACATGAAAGATACGTGGTTTAATATCTACATATGTATATTGGTTCGTATTTATATTAATAACAAATGCAGCAGGAAAGAAAGTATTTTACCATGAAAGTGGAGTATTAAAAAATTAAATTAGTAGTAACAGGAAGAAAGGCAGATAGGTAGCTATCAATTCGGAAAAAAATAATTGTCATGTAGATATTACATCGTATAGCAATTTGGATTACGTTCATGGATTGCACCATCCGAGTAAAACATTCTACAACATAGTATACAAATATTATCTTTGGTTTATAAATTAAAATTAGAACGTTTTTATTTTTTTTTTTTTTAAATACTTAGTAATATTAGGTTGTCCCAAAAGTTTCTTTCCTTTTATTAATAATTAATACACACACAATATTTTATGTTTTATGTTACATCACAAAACTGTGTACAATTCATTTCGCTCCATTACTGTTACAGCATCAATGTCTAAGAAATTATATTGTCTATTTATATGAACACTGCCACAGAAAATAATTGAATGCAACTCACGAAAGAAACTTTTAGGACAACCTAATACTTTCCTCTAAAATATATGAAGTACTTATAATAAAATAAGCTTCTTTTTCGAGAAATAGATACGTGACGTTATTGCATTATCAAGTTGAGAGCTCGTGGCGTCGAGTTAAGATTCCACTCCAATTCTTTCTAGGAGTACAGGAGCAAACATGGAAAGAATTTCGTGTCAGAGTCCACTTGAGCTCAGTCCGGGAGTCTAGTTTATGGTCCATCTTTATCACGCTACCGTTTTAATAGACCCGAACTATCCACGGAAATAGACCACAATCGAGCGGTTGATTCAAAGCAAATTGGAAAGTGAACTAGAGAAAATCCGAGCTTCTTGTTAGTAGTCACCTTTGGGAATCTTTGATCGGCTGGAGTGCTATAAATTTGTAACGCGATAGTACTTACCTCGAGCCAAGGTGAGGTAACTCCTGGATAAAATATAGAGCAACTCTGAAATTATAAAGCGAATGGATCACGGATTACCATTGGTCGGCGACGTGTAGCGCAGTATTATCGATTCACTCGATCGTTACAGCTCTTTACAATCTCGATGATGCTTTGACGATGCGTTCGATGGAAAAATATGGAATCGTGGCCAACGTAAACTAGACCACCGATTGGGCAACGCGTGAAATTATCTTTTCGTGGTTTCATGCGACCTGTGCGATGTGTATACCTTTCTGGCAACAGACGTGCTGACCAGTTAACGTTGTTCGCGCCAAAAGCGTGAATGGAGTGTATTCGAATCCGCGACGATTGATTCATGATGTAGCCATGCTTTTGCGTTGACAACCTGTGCTAATATTTCAATTTTCACTGGCATTACTGATGGCAATTCCACGTTTGACCAGAGAAAGACGTTCTCTGGGTCATCGTGCTTCTTGGAATACGGTTACATAAGCAAAGAATTTTTTAGCAAATTTATTTGTGCACTCTATGTATGCTCTCGTCATGAATATACGTCATTTTTCAATTTTTAATTTAGGTCCTCATTAAGGTACTCGAGAGTATGAAATTTGAAAATTACATGGAAACCTTATTTTTATATACTTATAATTAGATGCAAGCACGTACAAATGCGAACGATACGCAAGAATATAAAAAAGATTGAAAGTAAATTTCATGTTATAATATTTGCAGAATAAAATAAATTCTCATCTAGGTTCAATTTTTACGTAAATTTTTGCGTAATGGTCCGCAGTCTACTTATAATTATAATTGTTACTTTGCATTTTTTCTATGTAAAGTATGCTTCACGATTGATTTTAATAACCTGACGAGGAGTTAAAACAGATGGCAACTTAAAACTAAATAAAAAAAAAAAAAAAAAACTAACTTCTTCTACGCTAAAAGTTCCGTTATCATTTATATTTGACATTTGCATGTCCGTCTTAGGACACTCCCCGTTCTAGTTATCAAACATGTTTTCGGAGAGCCACAGCTATTTTGGAGTTATCTAATCGGTATGTCGATTAATGGTCCAGTAGTTCTAGAACCTACGTCGATTAATATAAAAACAGGAATGAAACGTGAACAAAAAGTTGACGGTTTTAGACGGTTTAAAACTCAGAAACTCAGATCCATGAGTTGGAATATAAAATTCAGCTCAATAGTATTCTGTGATAGGCTTCAAAACACAAGACAATGCGATCAGACTCGACTAAAATCGATTGATACTGTTAAGCTGATTCCATGGTCCAATTGCATCGAGAGCCAGATTCGTTGAACGTCATCGTCGCGTCGTAACCTTGTTTCATGTTATTGTCGATAATCGCAATTGATAGCGATTTTATCACCAAGTACAAGTAGTTACTTTGCAGGGGTCTCTTTTGTCGATGGCGATACTTTGCAACAGCTTTATTCGTCAGTCGTTATGCAACAGATTAATAAATCGAGAAATCATCTCAACAAATATTTCCTTTAGTTTTAAAATATATAAACACTTGTGATAGTCGCCATTTGTCGATACCATGTCACAGAAGGAAGGAGTTACTCGATCCACGTCACTTTTGATATTTTTGACGTAACACTTGAAACATTAAGCTCTTCTGATTTCTCCTAGGACAATGTTTTCTTTGATGAAAAAAGGAACTACGTCGGCATATACGTCGACTCACCGTCCCTCAAATTCAAGGCTTCCGAATCTCTTAAGTTCAGAGCATTCGGTAGCATTGCTTCATAAATGTCAGAGGTGCAACGTGTCAAATGTGGATTGACAGTGGAGCTGTATGCCAGGCTTTTGAGTCGACGTTGACTTATTTTGTTATAACTAAGTAATATTCTTCAAACATTTCTTGATGATATAACTATACCACCTATATAAATGTACGATTTGTTTTCCTCTGGTTCTTTACGTTTTTCTATGTTCAAGCTTTCAAGTACATCTGAAGATAGTGCAGAAAATAGTTAGTTCATTCTGTAAGTGTGTTTTTTCATGTTTATATGAATACCAAAAAAAAAATTCTGTTGAATTGTATATTTAAGCTGAAAATTAAATTATTCAAGTGCCTCATGTTTGTAATAGCATAGACTGAGAGCAACAAGGTTAAAGTCATCTCAGACAGACTGATACTTCCCTTTAATAATCCCCAAGGGGTTGAAGCTGAAAACATAGCACGACAAGGGTGACACAACGCCCGTATAATCATTACTGTTTCTTTAACTGTTTTCTTCACTAAAGTTAGTATCTAATAAGTCTTGTTGCTTTTCAATACACGAATGCACCACATGCTCGAGAGGTCTATTCTCTCCTTATTACATAATTTGTACGAGCAAGTGAACAACTGCGGAAACATGTAACTAATTAAATTGCTTTCTTCACTTTTCCGCAATTTTTTAGCTACTATTGAAGGCTGATACCAAAAGAATTACATGTCTCCCTAGCATATGGTGTGTTAACTATTTTTTGCTAGGATTTTGTTCACGAATCCCTTATCATCCCCAATGGGAAGAACTTATATATATATATTTTTTTTTCTGTGAAACACTTAGTCTCCACGAAGGGTCGACGAAAAATCTTTGGAAGGATTTCATCACTTCGGTCATTTCCCAAGAAACGCTATTACAGAACATCCAAGTGACGTTATCCGTATATTTGTCTCGGGTGTAATCATAAAAGAATACGGAGAAACTCATTCTTCGACACCGTCTCCTTTTATACTTGTAGAAAGTAGTGATGCGCACGAGACGAGACGAGACGAGACGAGAACGAAAATTTCCCTGACGTAAAAAAATGACGCGAATAATGACGAAATCATAGCTATACCCTTTTTCTGTAGCTCTCCTCGACGCACCCCTAAAGAATCTAAAAGAGGATTCAAGGTTGTAGGTAGCGATTCAAAGTCTAATAACCCTAGATCGACGCCCACGCAGCTCCAAATTCACGTATTTTAGGTGGCGCATCTCTGGGATGCGAAACAAACCACCAACACTGTTAATAATTTCGACACTAACGATTCTCTTCTCGTAACTCTTTCAAGGGCAGTTCGTTCGTGTCGAACTAATTCTAGGCACATTAGAATCGAGTCGATACTCGTCCAAGTTCGTTGACTTTGCCCTGCGGATCAAGGTAAACGTAGCAGTCGTTGACCGTTTTAGAGAACGTTGCCACAAACATAAACGTTTTGGAAAGTAACAGAATTATTTTTTGCTCTGATGTTTATCGACGGTGTGCGAAATAAAATGTTACTTGAAAAATGCCCTATAAGTGTCAGTGCTTTTACCTTACTCGATACAAATTTCAAATATTATTAGTGAAATATGATCACTAAAAAAGTATAAAATTCTAAGTAACTGAGGTGATGCTCTTTCAACCATCCACTGGTGCAAAGTATAATCAAAGACAATCTTCAGCAGGCAACCTTCATATATTAAGATTAAGGGGGTAAAATTTATCCGTATTACTCGGCTGGTTGCAGCAATACAGGTCCAGAATTTCAATCAGCTTTCACTCCCTACAGTGTCTTGTGCTTTTTCATGTTTCTTTTTATTGTGTGTTCGGTGGTTCTTCGACACCATCAACGAAGAAATATTTATCGAAACTGATGCCGCTTAATCTGTGACACGCATGTGTTCTTCAGCAGGTGACGTATCCGGTAATTGTACGTTGTATGCTGGTACTTTGGCTGGTTGCTCTGGCGTTGACTAGCCTTCCAGTCCTGGGCTTCGGCTTGTACTACAAGGGGGAGCGATGCGTTCGATATAGAGAAGCAACTGAATCAGCCGACATAGCGTACGCTTACGTTTGGTTTGTTTTCGGTGAGTATGCTGTATAACTCTGATGGATACACGGTTGAACAAATTATTAGAGCCACTGAAAAAGTGGTCTCTTGGATAGTTCATAGTACGCAACAACTATGCAGTACATACTACAATGTTGAAATATTGGACATGGTTAAAATATATTTTCTTTCTGTGTTTTTAATAATTTGATCAGCTGTTCATATTCTTATACACGCATTCCTTTCTTTTATGATAATAAGAATGTAGTAAAAAAAAAAATCAAGTTATATGAATTCGTGGATTATGTATAGTTATTTAGGAATATTTAAAAAAGGTTTTAACAGTAAATTGCTTATGACCAATGATAATTGCTGAATTTAAATTTCGCGTCTGTGTAATAAGAAAGTAAAGTTTCATCGTTAACAAAGTTCTGTACTCTCGTGGTAGGGGTAGAGCCAATTGGCCTTCCAAGGTTATTCAGGGACGCCCCTAACGTACCGTTAGGCTACTACATCGTTCTATCTCTAATCTCTTCGCCCTAACGTTGCTTCACCCCCGACTGTTGCGTTTGAACGATACAAATTCTGAAAGCAGAGATAGAACAGAATTTTATTTGAATCGAGTGCGATGAGCAATTACGGAAATAATAAATTGGATTTTCGTTTGAAATTGCAGGAACTCTTCTCTGCCTATCGATTGTCTGGTGCAATTTGGCCGTTTCCCGAGCACTTAGCAGGCTAAGTCGAAAGGCTGGCGCACTGAGGCGCGTAACTAGATCTTCATCAAGGGCGAAACCACTTTTGACGATGGCTGGTCCACCATCAGAAGTCGTCGCAACAGCCGAGGAAAGGGCATTCGCGAGATTGATGGCTGTCCTATCGATATCTTTTGTTATCTGTTGGATGCCGCAGATGGTAAGTACTTGACTGTTGAAGTAGTCGATTGATTTAATTTTCTGCTCCGCCTACTACGTATTAATTGTATCCTGTAATTGGTCACTTAAAATTTATGAGAATTAAATTGCATGGTTTCATACGGTGTCGCTAAGCAATTATTAAACGTTTCGTTTTATGTTTGAAACCATCTACAGAATAATTCATTTGTTCTTTAGATGGTTCTCTAATTTGGTGCCTATATTATGTTCCTTCTTTTTCTTTTACATATTGTTGGCTTTTTAGAAATACGAACATAAATATATGGTGGTATGAGCATTAATATTTAGTATATTAATATTTAGAATTAAACATAATTTATAGACGTAATATTAAGTTCATTGTTTGTGAAATATTGATCAAATCTCGAAAACACAATGTTTTATAGACTGTTTCGAAAGAACGATACAGACGATGGACAAAAAATATATATGTATCCTTAGGAGAAAGATTAGGGTAGGAGAGGATGTTCCTCGTAAAATTGTATTCTAATAAATTCAGGTTGCTCCCCCATTAATTTTAAGTTGCTTCCGCTTCTCTTTTATGGATCCACTTGTCTTGTTTGTTTTCGACTGTCATGAGAGGATCCATTTTTCATCAGAAGCGATTTGTCTAAAAAATATACTTTCATTTCCCATTAAAGGAGTCAGTTTAAGAGTTTGCACTAAAGTCCGTGTAAGCATACATTACCAAGTTCATTCCTTGTAATAATAAAAACAAAATGTGTTGCTTGAATTTTGTGTACAATCTTTTTCGATAATTCACTGTTTATGAAGTCTTATTAGAAATATCCCTCCTAAAAGGGTTGATTGATTCGTGACATGAGTTTACTCATAACTCAATGAGTTGTCTCATAACTTGGACCGTCGTCATTGACTATGAATTTTTGACAGTGCACCGTAAGCAAGGGAAGTCTGGAGGTGGAGAACACTTACAGTTACTCGCCTCTATAGGAACCAACGGCGTTTACGTGATCTGCTTGCTAAAGATCCATTAGACGATGATATTTACTCCGACGCCATCGAAACATCGATAAAATTTGCGATCGCATCGATCGTGACAAGACTCCGAAACTACACCGAGGATTTATATTCCACATCACGCGTCTTCTTTAAATTATCGATCTGCAGATCGATCGTCTGACATCAGGCAATTTTTAATTCAACTTCAGCTAACCTATTCCACGAAATGATCGTTGTAGTCATGAATTCGTAAGTATTGAATCTATGAAATGATTACTTAATTAGCAAGACGTTGCTTTGATTGATGTCATGATTCTCGAATAGTACAATACATTGTATTCATTACTGCATTGTCTAGATTAGAGATTCGTTCCAATGTTAAAAAATTAAAAAGTAATTATAATCGAGGTAGCAAATTCTCAAGATCTTTGTAAATTTTATCAACTTTAAAGATATTGATTAGAAACAGTATATTAGGAACTTTATTTTAGGCATCCGTTGCTGACATCGATTCTTTTTTCTTGGAATCCTACCACTAGGGACTTCGAGGGTCGATGACACATTAGACCTTGGTAGGACATTTGTTTCCAACCCAATTAGAACGTCAAACTAGAACCTGTTGATTAATTGAATTTCTGTACGTCCATGGCCAATATTCTAGTGATACTTGATGGCGTGGGAATCAATATGTATACACTTCAAACTTCTCCAATTCAGTTACGTTCTGTTCCTCTGAACGGTTTGCCCCTATAGACTTTCAATTATACTACGTTCAAAGTCAGTCCTTGGTAATTGCAGTATGTATTTGATAGAATTATCAACAGGGAATCTTATTATACAGGGAATCATAGCCATGTTTATTTTTATTATATAGTCCCACACACACACCTGCAATTTTACTGTCAATAACATCTCTTACGATGTCCAGTCTTTTAATGCGCTGTTGTCCGAAAGATACATAAAATTCTTCATTGGCATTCTCGTCTTTCAACACTCAACTGCGTTGCCATCTTCGCTCTCCACTGGTTTTACGACCTCGCTACACTTCGCCCATCAAGTGTACTATTGGCATCCCAGAAGATGCCTCCGAGGGCTACACGATACATCTACATTAGTACGGACAGGATCGTTTGCACCAAGTGCACCCTCAGAGGCATACCTCCCACACGCCAACGATTCAAGAAATTCAGTTCCAATTTAATCTTTACATAACCATCTTTCCAACTGACCTAATTCGTCTTACTAACTTATAATACAGATGAATCTCATGTAACACTACGGTATCCTCAAAACAATCAGGACCTTGATCTTTATACGCTACTTTATACCAACACTCAGTATGTACTTACTTACAGTATGTATGTATTTCTTCATCGAAGAAATAAATTCCAATACAATTAAATGAGCCGATTAAAATACAATCATACGTTTCGCGACACGGCTATCACCTTGGATGACATTGGTAATCGATCGAATCGTTACTACCATCACTGTTGTATGTTTCTGCTCCGGAATTACCCGAGTCTCGTGACCAGGGGTTGGTAAACTTTTTTTTTTCGAAGGGTTAGGCTGATCGTGAAAGTTTCAGGGTCGACGGATCAGATAGCAAACTCGAAGGTATTTACATTGGTAATTACACGAATAGATTAACTCCACGAAACAAAAAGTTGAGAAATGCGATGAAATAGTGTACATTGTTTTTTAAAATTCCCTTTGTAATATAAAGTTAAATACATGTTGGAAAAAGTTCTTTCCTCTTTGCGAAAGTTATTATAAATATAAAATGATACGATTATACCAAGTGCTTGGACACTTAAATTTCAGATTTTTCAAAAAGTGTAGTTAATCGATTCGTGCAGTGAATGGCTCGAATGAAAAATTGCACCTATTTGAGTAAAGACAGCTTGTCAGGTCTAACGAAACCTCGATACGATCTTAACGAGCCCGTGAATCGGGTTAGTCTAAAAGAATTTGTGCCAGGGCATTGTCATCGTTCAAACACCCGCATTCCTCGAGTTCTTAATACAATAAGTATAATCGCGATGCATCCTGTATCCGAGAACGCAATTGCATCGAACAATGCACCTGGCGCTACGCTGATTGCATATTCACGAGCTTCTCGCATTTCCTTCTTATCCGATTCGCATCTTTCGCGGCTTTCTCACCCCGTGTCGCGCGATTTCTTTCCTCGTGGCAATACAAGCGCACCTGCCAACTTGGAAATCGACCAAAAATAACCGTTATCATTTTCACAGCCCAAATACGCGTTAAGGTCAGTTATTTTACAAGCGTTTGGAACGGTGGAGCCGTATAGGATCGAATTAATGTAACGATTTGCTTGTGCTAAGCTGCAAATATGACGCATTTCCGCCGGACAGGCTGAAGGTTGAAAACAACGACTTAGTTTTGAAATATTTTCACGTACGATCGCTCGGGACATCCGCGAACGATCGATGCTCGTAACATGGTTGTTGCCTTCGAACAAAGCCGGGCGTGGAACAATTTGGAGAAACGACGGAAAAGTTTTCCACACATCGTGTCATCGAATACCGCGTATTCCTGTCGTTGACCCTGCGGACGACACGCGGGACTGTGTTGACTTGCGAGCTATCTAGCACCCAACTGGGGTGATGACAGTATTTTTAGCGTGGAAATTTAAAGTATCGTACAATCGTATGTTTCGCGACACGGCTGTCGCGTCGTATGATATTGGTAATCGATCAAATTATCATTACCGTCGCTATTGTATGTTTCTGCTTCGGAATTACCCGAGCCTCGTGACCAGGGGTTGGTAAACTGTTTTTTTTCGAAGGATCAGGCCGATCGTAAAAGTTTCAAGCTCGCCGGATCAGGTAGCAAACTCGAAGGAATTTACATTGGTAATTCTACTCACAGAGCGACGAAAAGAACTGGTTCCAAATTTTGTCATAGGGAAGTGATAGTTATCTATAATATTTATACGCATTATGCTGACGTTTATCAGATAAAATATTTCTGTGGGGTTGTCCAGAAAGTTCGTGCCAATGTTTATGAAAAATTCAAAAACACATTTGAATTTTTATGTACATTTATTGAATTACATAGGTACCATTATTTTCCACACCTTTTAAGGGATGTTCACATGTTATTTGTTTTCACCCATTCCGATATATTCAGACCTGTACCACCTACCAAAACTCGGCATAGATTTTTCTGCCAAACCAATATTTATTATTAAACAGAGTGCAGGTTAAATTTTCTACTAAAGCGATGAGTATAATTGTTTTCCATCATAGTATAGTTTGAAGTCAGTTTCTCAGACACGACATTACGTGTTACACGTGAAACCCGTGTACACGCGTACACGTATGAATGGGAGCTCTAGTTGATACAAATGATCCTTTCGTTATGTCTTCAGATCTCCATCCCATTGGCTCAATTCGCGATGCAATTACCTGAAAAGGCACTGCTAGCGAGGAAAGCGATTCGCATGTTCCACGTGGCGGCCGATATCCTCCTCTGCATCCACTTCACCCTGGACCCATACATCTACGTGTTGTTGAGGATGCCTAGGCCCAGATTCCGTCTTCTGAAACCGCTTTGCAAGATCTGCTGGCCAGGCAGAAGTCGGTCGAGTTCGTTCACAGGTAAGTGCTGTCTCTTTAAAGTGCAATATATTTATCAACAAGTGTTTAAAACGTATAAAGTGTGTCTGTCGACTCAAACCATTTGTCACGATAATTTTTTATAAAGAATATTAAGAGAATTTTAAGGAAGAAGAAGTGTGAGATAATTAGAAGATATATTTTATTAACATATAGAATTTTCTCTATGAGAAAAAAGAAGATAAAACTTTTGTTCCAACTTCATTTCGATATCTCGCACTGTTCTGGAGATATTGCGACACCAATGAAGAATGATCTTTTAATTACTTTTATTCATCTCTTCTCGTTAGGAAAGATCTTTGCGCGATGAGAACGCCTCTCCCTTCATCAAGCGTCCTTACGAACTCATCGCTTTCTTTTACACTTCCTCAACAGTTCGATTCCCACAACCTCGTTTATTTTTAATGTACATCATTTATTAGTGTTCCCAAATAACCAAACGTTACTAACAACCGATCTCCTAGGTGAAACAATTTTCAAAAAGATCCCATTCAGTAATACCACGTTAGCCTTTGTCCTTCCATACTCTTTCTTTTTGCCCATCCCCATCACTCGCCTTACCTCAGATCACTCCCTTAGGGATCTTTTCAAAACAAATATCTTTTCGAAACGTTGCAAACAGAAAATGACATTTCTACATCTCCTACGAACTCTAATATTACGATTTCTTACATATTATCAGTGATACCACGGAACAAAAAACATTTACTCATTATTCGAAGTTATACATACAAATACATAGAACTTCTGCTTCCGTTCTACTTGCAGAGCACATTGAAATTTCGTTGACACCTCGATTTTTAAGCAGAAATTTTTTGCCTCTGATTATCCATTCGAACGAAATTGACTTTGATCGAATAATTGGTAGGAACTACAGATCACCAGGGCAGCAGCGGTGGCGATCCATCGACGCCAATCACCGAAGCACCCTCCACGCCAGTCAGCGAGGTACACGATCCTCATTTGGTGGCAGTGTCTGTCTGAGACAGGCTTCAGCGAACGATCTTCATGAAACAATTCAAGAGCTGCGACGTTACTAACGTTTAAGTTGTACACTCTTCAAGAACGTTTGAAGGTCTTCGCTATATACACGGGGGGAAGGGTGGGAGAGAGGGGGGTCGACACTGTGAAATTTGATCGATTGACACGACTGACACCGCCTCAATATTTTATTAACCAGTCAGCTGTGATCGACGAGTATAGTCGTCATGAATAGAAGGCAATATTTTGTATTATCATGACGAGTATACTCGACATGCGTAAAATTTAGTTACCATTGGTTACTTAAGAGTATGTTTCACATATTAATTTGAGTAACAGAAGTATAAGTGGCATGAATATTTGGGGCGACATAATATGTAGCCGTCGTTGCGACCCAATATTACTCTGTGTTTGACGACTATACTTGTCGTAGCTTGATTCTCACGGCGTACATAGGTGCGCGGCCCGAAAAGAAGATACCACAGCCGACTGGTTAATCGAGGAATTGAAATTGTTGAGAATTGGACGATCATTAGAGGAGTACGACGACGATGTTTCTAGACAGATTTTGAGAGATTAGAATGGTTAGAAGTAGTATCTTCCTTCGAGGGAACCTTACGATCGTACGACGAGTCGAGGGACAAACGAACGCGTTGAGATTGATACCTCGCTGATTTTTCGCGTACAAGTTTCACCAATTGTTCTCTTAACATTCGTGTCGCTATTTTTGTGCCATATATTTTGTTAATTTCACGAGTCATTTATACTAATATCGTAACAACGAATGTATCAATATCTTATAAACGAATGTTACATTCTTTTTTTTTTATTGTTCTCCAATACAGTGTCTGAAAGATATAGATATAGTTGCACGTATTGGAATTGCAATTTGATTACACGAAGATGATGAAGAAGAGGTTCTTGTTCTCTCGTTTGGAGTCGTCTCGGCGATGTGAACAGATTAATAGCATTCCAAAAATTAATTATTGTACATGGTGCAAATATCTTCGTAATAGACGTACATTACCTGTTAGCTTGTGAAGTATCAGAGCGTTTAAAATTTGTGCTCGATGGAATGTGAAGAACTCTACTCGTTTGCAGATTGCAAGTGACAGCGAGTCGTGTATTGTCGAGCGTTACTTTCTCGAAAACAATTAGTGTTACCGATAATTACGCTCTAAATAGGTCAGGGATAAAAAAAAAAACACCGCATCGCTAGTTTCGATATGTAATTCTGTAAAATTTGCGTAAATGTATGTCTAGTCAGTAAATTAATGCAGGTATGCAGTAAATACAGATGAACGTAAAGAATGGATATTTACCAAAGTATTCAATGCTAAAGCGTATTTAATCATACAATGTACTTTATCAAATCGAACCTAAGGGGAGAGCACATATATGTATATGTATATTTTCTTGAATATATACAACGATGAAAATACTTATATTAATACCCAAATAAAGTTATTAAACAATTTCGTAACAACTCCTATTAAGTTGTAACTTTACCACAGATGCCGGTGTAATTCACAGTCACAAATATTTTACGATCGTTTACTGTGTTTATGTAAAGTATCAATAAACTTTAATTACCTCTTTTTTTTTTTAAATAAGCCTGTGCAATAATAATGTTGCTCCTCTAATAGACGCTGCAGTGGAATCAACCGGTGGAGGTAGTTCGGGTAATTATTAATAAATAAGGGTCAGATTATATCAAAATGCTCGTAATCGTTAGTTAAGGGAATGTGCCGCACACATAAACGGTGACGAATTAATTTAATTTGTGTAACAGGGTGCTAGATTCTAATCAGCTGTTTCAATTTACAGTGGCCATCGTGTTTATTAATTTCCATAATAATTTTGAAAAATCGTTTCAATATCTGTTTCACACTTCACTAATACAAGCAATGATACATTTTCTAGCAAAAGTCGCGGTAAACTTAACTAATTGAAGGCATCGTTAAAATCTAATTTTCTGAAGCAAACATGTTGCAAACGTTACCGTATGTCTATACTGGTATCATTAACGCTGGTGAAGCAGATGATAAGACAAACCGTACTCGGGAACCTAGTAAGATTAAAATAATCATTCTCTTTGATGGATTCTGAGTAAATTTACGATGTTAGAATGCAGGATAACGAAATAACGAGACCAATGGAGAGGAAGGAGTACATATAATACAAATATATTTTTTTTTACGCTGTTACGTAACTTGCCTCTAGACACTTATGACATTAATAATAACTTACGGACGCGATCGTTGCTGAATACATGACACCTTTTATTGCACACTAGAAATACCACAGATGCATTCGTACAGTATCAATCGCGATACAGGTGACGTACTTTCACATACCTTATGTAGCTACAAATAAATAATAGTATTTTTTTTTTTTATCCACGTTCGTTTCCCGACCGTTCGTCGACGGAATAATCACGGGCCCCGGGACGAGGGTTTCAAGTTCCTATTCGCTAGGTAAACACAGAGACAACCAAAGTGAAATTTCGCTTAATTCGCCGGATCTCTTTCGATTGTGCGTCTTTCCGGCACGCAACGCACAATACTATACTCAGGGAGCTGGAGAGATTGTCCTTGAATGAAACTGAAGTTCAACGAGCACAGTTTTTGGAAAAGATTATATCATCAACGGCGAAGATTTCGTATCATGTTATTATTAAAAATGCAGGAACTTTGCCGTGAGCATTAGTATCTAGTATTCTAATTAGATCGATCAGTACAAACAGTATTATTCGGAGTAATAGATAATAATGCTTGTACTGGCTACCTGCATTTTTAATTCTATTTTTCAACTCACAAGCGTAGATTTAATTAAAGAGTTTATGATATTTTTATTCGTTAAAGCACACTTCATAGGTAAAGAGACTTTCTTCATATACCGAATATCATTCGAGGGCAATATTTATAACTCCCATTCAGTACAACTCATACGATTCGATCTCTCCTTCGCACACGCGCCGTACAACGTAATAACGATATGATTACACGTGTTACGAGTAAACTGACATTTATTTGTGAAAGACAAATCTCGAAGGCAGAGTACGTCGTCGCATACAACTGTTTGTTCGCGGGTTGTCTTGATTCTATTTTCAGGCAATCGTGAAGTCAACTGTGCGCGCTAAGGTGCGCGTCTCGTAGGATAACAGAAATCACACCGATTAATGTAATATAAGTCCAGTACAACGGCTAGGAGTCTTGATAGCGGTAAATCGCACGTTCCTCGAGCGGTAGGCTTGCGAAGATCGATTAACACATCCACGAATATTGAATGTACAGCAGAATCTTCATGAGACTGTTGGGTTAAAAGAACAAAGTAGTTTTGGATAACAGAAAACTTGCTTTTTCGAAGATGATTGTTTCATTATTCGTAGCAGGGTAAGAAAAATAATAGGAACGAAAATGGAAAATTGTATAAATATGAGATTTTCTGGTGAATGTATGATATTCGTTTCTTTCTTGGGTCTCACAGATTTTTTTTAATGTACTTAAATGTATGAAGTGGCCTTATATGTTTCAAACTCATTTTTCTAATCCATGAGCAATGTTTGTGAGCATTTATAATGGAGGTGTACGCACACACAAAAAAGTTTCCCTATTACTGTTCGTAGAGCAAGTTGGTTAATACACGTTCGTCAGTTTGAGCTGGTTGCAATCGAAAGCTGATAGTGTTGATTTGTCGGATATCGATGATATTTGGCAACAATTTATTTCACGAGATTATTCTTCTTAAACGATTCCTTGGCTATCTTTTCACCGTGAAACGCAATAAGCGTAAACGTGCGCTACGAACGAAAATCATTCTGGAATTAAAACGACTGGGTACATCAGTTGACATCATCTGGTATGACGATACTTGGTCTCGTATAGGATTACTCGAACAATATTAACGATATTAATTAATTATTGTCAAATACGCTGTATGTTAATTACATGGTCGATACTCTCCGCAAGTAGAAGTTTGTAAAAAAGTAGAATCGCTTAAGATTTAAGCGAATAAAATGCGCGGAAGGTATAAAGAGACTTATACAAAAGTACCCCGGAGGACCAGGGAAAACTATACTTGGCCTCTCGAATTTTGTACCATCAATGCAGCTCGAAACAATAGAACGATTTCATCGAGGTAATTATCGCGACGAAGCTTTAAAGAATTATCCTCGTTCGAATAACAATTTTTTTTTGTTCACGACCTCCATTAATCTCTCGTCGATTTCTTTTACTTATAATAACAGTTTTCTCGCAAAAAACGACAGATTGAACAACAACCACGAAATACACCGTCACTGGTTCTCCCATACAAGTTAAATTTTTGCAATCACACCTCCTCTCACCCTTTCTCTTCCTAAGGGGCGGCGAATAAACTACAATATTCCGTTATCAGCTATAACAACGCGTCGATAAACAAATTTCCTTTGTTCGTGTCAGATGAATCATAATTTATAATCCGTACCCACGATTTGAATTCGAATGAATTCCATTTCATTTTAACACGAACACATTCAGCTCTGCGTTTGTCGCTAAAAAGGAATAACGAAGAGTACGTCAGTTCTTGCGCAGCGTCGATCGATGGACAATGATAAATTCGTTTTTTGGCACACTAACTGGATTAAGTCTCTATTTAGCGTCTACATTAGCTTAGGCCAGTATCAGTTGTATAATAAGCTCGATTCAACGCTCTTCCAGGTATCGTACTTCATCACGTCTCCCTGATTAACGCTCCTCGAACGAGTACGCACATCGTAGATCGAATTTTCTCTTCCTTGAACCATCACTGGCTTCGAAAACACCTGTGTCAAACTACCACGGTAGTATTCGGTTGAACGTTCAAGCCAACGAGACTTGGGTGTTCGTGATAGGATGGACAAGTACCTTCAAATCGAGTGCGCATCGACAGCAAATGTCGATCCAACGAAACTATCGTCAAACCCGGTGGAAAAATACAAATCTGCACATAGAAACGACTCACTGATGTCAAACGATTACGAACGATCGACAGTCATTGATCAAATTTCGTTACTTGGTAATGTTTTATAGGATTGTTCCGGTTTTCGTTTGATTTCAGTTAGCCGTTTCGCGGTACCGTCTAAAAACGATCCAACGAATCACTCCGACCTGAGGTCTGTTCTCGATCAACGTTAAAGTTTAACCCGTGGAAAATATCTTACTCGAGTTTCCAGACGCCGGGCAACCCGAATTTCTTGGCACCTTGAAAATAACGAACCTCCTTTATCCTGCTCTTGATCCACTCGGCCAAGACCAGCCAGAGAACTTTCCCGCGTTCTCTGAAAAATTGTCGGGCGAATACGTCCTGAACAGCCACGATCGGACGATGGCGGACCCGACCACGTGTGGCTCGCACACGTAACAACGATTCCCACGGCGTGTCATGCCGACGTTCGTGAACTGCGACCCTTACCTGAAGAACACCGATATGAGACGTGATTGTAATTTCTTTTTTTTTTTTGTGGCGAGTTTTAGTAAGTGTGGTATTCGTGTGACGCGCGGGGCAAACTTTATTTAACCGTTAAGAATAAGGGTCGAAAATTTGTTAACACTAAAACTACCGAACTGGTCGTTATGATCGTAGTATTTCTATATTTTTTGTTTATGATAAGCCATTTAGTTATTGACCGATACCGATAACGATACCGCCATTTTTGGTGACAATCATACAAATAGAGAACTAGGTGTATCGTATAATAAGAACGTTGAGTTATTCCAACTACGTTTTTTAAAAAATCTCTGCCTAGATACGGTTGATCTACAGTTTGTATACGTTTATTGATTTCTGTAGAATCGCAGACTCCCCTTGCTAGCAGATGTGTAATAAATTCGACGTATCTCTCTTGACAAGGGAGCCCTGCAGCTGGCACATCGAAACTTCAATGGTATTTGAAGGGGTGAATGTAGAATTTTTGACTCTCGTTTGTATCTTTTTCAAACATAACTCAAGCGTGTTATTTTCTTGAGTATTAAAAATGCGTAAGTACTAAGAAGAATAACCTTCGTTCGCATTACCTATCGCGTGTCTTTTATTTTAAAATTACATAAGGTGGATAAAGTTATTTGACTCACCGAGGGCCGTACTAGATCACATCACACTTTCCACAGCAGGAGATGATTGGTCGAATCCTCTCGACCAGCCTGCAGCTCGGCAGATGCCTGAGGTCCTCTGAAGTCCTCGTAGCCGTCTCCACCTGATATCACGAGAAGCTTCCCGCGATTTATGTTGTTCTGTTGGTTCTTGTTGGATTTCAGAGAATATCGGTCCACCTTCGGACGTGGATCCGGCTTTGGAGGGGTCGACGTTTCTACGCATGTCAGGAAACGTACATGTCCGGTATGTCCATGGGGAATACCTGAAAAACATAACAATAATATTAGAGACATGTTGCAGAAACGTTGATTAATATGAAATGAAAAGAATGGAATACAATTATTTCGATCTTTTCCTTGTTGAATAAATAGTATAGAAATATAAATACGATACCTTTCTTTTTATACTATTTGTTCGACAGAAAAGAAACCTAAATAATTCTCTCTTATTCTGTTGGTTTCACAATGCTTAATTTTTCATATATATTTTATTCGGACTCTTAATCCAGGCCTTTGTACTTGCAGGTATCCTAGACATCCTTATACATGATTATACTTAAGTTTTTGATCCCATGATTACAATATACGTAAACTGAGGAAGACTCAACCCAGAGCTTTAATGATTTACAAATGACATGCATGTCTCCTAACATACAGGCGTCAACTTCGATTGTATCAAAGTAAAGTCTCGTGGAATTTGTTGTTAATTCTGCTCTTTTTTTGCAACAGCGAACAAGCATCGCAAAGCTTACAAGCTTCTTTACTGAAATTCGACGTAAAAGGCACCATTTCTCGCGATGTATCAGCCTTGTCCATGACGGGTATCTTATAAATATCTTGCATGAAATACGCGAACGGATCCAAAAATTTCGCAAATGATTGATCGGCTCTGTATCTCGACGTCGAAGCAGACACCTCGCGAGAAGTGTGAGGCGTCCCGGTCGGCGGCCAGCTTCTAATTATATCGGAAGCAATAAAGATGCTTGCTTATAGCCGATCGAATGTGACGTCAATACCCACCAGTCACGATCGGCGGTTGAGACATCCTCTGAGTGGATGGCTTTATATGGGGAATTGGCACGGTCAATAGTACGCCGGCGCTCGTGCCGATCCAAAGCAACTCGTTGCAAGCCAAAAGTGCGGTGACCCTGAGACAGGCGGCCTTGTGCTGTCGTATTATGTCATCGCAACCTGCAGCAAGTTTAAAGCTTCCGTTAAAATAAATACCATAGACGGAGGGTAGCGTTTCGTTCTGTGCTTGCTAATGCTCTAGAATTAACGCCTCGAGTGTCAAAGAGCGGTATATCGCTCCTCCATGAACTTTCAAAAGTTGCGAAGAACGATATATCGCTGCTCGATGGTGTAAGTGTTATAATTCATTAAAACATCAATTATGAATGAAGACAAACTAACTGAAAAGATTCATTTCGACAGACAATAAATTATGTTTATTTGCAAACAAAATTCAAGTTCAAGTTTTTGTGAAAATATTTTCTTTGTACAAATTCATTTTTTGTTAAACCTATAACCTTTTACTTTCATTTTTTTTAGTAATAAAGGAAGTCCAACATGTTTTTAGTATCGTGTACAAATTTCATAAACCTTAAAATAAAATGACCGAAATGTATCAATTTTTGTTTACAGTCATGGATCTTTGCTTAAAATCGTCTGGAATTTCTCGAATATGTATAAAAATTTCCTCTGACATTCGAAGGGTTAAACGATCAAAGTGTCTCGATGCAGAGCGGCAACTCTCTGTTGCACGACTTTTCTCTACATTCACGTAGAGACTTACTGGTGAGCATTTTGGTGACAGCTGGGGCTATATTGATGTCCGTCAGGCACTCGTAGCTACCGGAATGAAACAGTCGTAGCACGGCGCTGTTGTGCAAAGAAATCCAAACCCCGAGACCACCGGAGCTCGCCATGCAGGAGATGGACAAAGAAGTGTCGTTGCTAACGGCGAATGTGTGCTCGATATCCAATGTGTGGGTGTTTAGGACCTTCACGGTATTGTGACAGCCGCACCAAAGTTTCCCAGACACTGGAAGCATCTTCGTGATTGGAGACGCCACTGTGCCTACTGCTACCGTTGTTGGATCGGCTGTGTTCCAACCACCCACTGCAAAGTAAAGGTTGTGGGTAAATAGCGGAAACTACGAGAAGAAGAGAAACGAATGGAAGAAGTGCTAGGTTTAGATAGGCACATGACGCAGGTCCATCAATGATATAAAACACAATAGATAAAAGTTGACTTAGCTCTACGATTAAGGTTGATTAAGCAAAAGCCTGAATTTGAATTAGATGCATGTATAAGAAAATATATGAATAAAGTTAAATCAAAATATCATTCATAGAATTAATCCAGAGTTCATATCAAATAGAAATAAATTTAGAATCATCAAGCATTATTGTACTCATCTCGTGTACAAGGTGTACTATTTTTAATCATCGTAGTTAACTTACAGTGATCTCGAGAATAAACTGTGATATCTCCATTAGCTAGTGACACGAACACCTTATTGTCCAAGTATCTGAAATGTCAAACGAGTAAATGTGAATGAATTAACAGTCGAAGAAGTAAACGATCTTAGGTAGACGACAATCTTACATGATGCAATGCACGCTGCTGTTATGTTGTATCTTCACTTTGTTCTTTTTTGTCCTGATATTATCGTTGCAGTTGTAAACGTGCACGCATCCATCTTCAGTCCCGAGCCACATGGTCGGTTGATTGATGTCCTCTTCGGTTGTAGAATTATCGATACTCGGAACATCGCCACTCAAGGTTAGGCTACCCGTATCTGCACATGGAATGTCGTCCGAGTCCGAGTCGTCGGAGCTCGAGCTACTGTAAGATAATTCTCTTAGATTAACGATGAAACGCGTCGAGAGATGATTTAATTAGCGTACTTTGTAGGGAAAATTCAATCAAAAGGTTTCGGAAACATTCCGCGGAACACATATATCACAACTATCAGGTATTTTTACAGGGGGATTCGCCTAACGAATAATAGTTCAAGTTTCCAAAATAATGACACATTTTTTCAGTTAGTGTTCAGTGTATTTTCTAATTTCAGAATAAAGAATCAAGTGTTCTGTTTAGTAATTTTAAAGTGACTTCTACATTTAGATAGTAGAGTAATCGCTTAAATAATTTAATTTAAAGGATGAATAGTTAGGCGAGTCATCCCGTTTAACAAGGAATCAACTAATAATTATTTTAAATGGTTTCATGAATGTGAAGGTTTACGCTATTGTCAGTATAGAAGCATCGATAGGTTTAGATAATAAAAAATGCAGACACTGGCTACCGCCTAAAATCACAAGTTGACTCCTTGTCGCGCAAGACTGCCTAAACAATAACGCGATTCTACTCGCCCCGATTCAAACTGTCAGTTAACAACATTACCTATCTAACTGTATGTTCCCGCCACTGGCATCGACATCCTGGACCGAGATGCTTATGCCGCTCTTACTGTTCGCGAATGAAATGTTGTTAGTCACGCACGAATTTGATCTAAAATATAATACAGGTAAAGTAAAGCCTCTTTCTACTCACCTACAAAGCATTAGAAAAGACAAATTATTCTACTAAGGTAAACCTGCTTACTTTCAACATTATCGTACAATTTACTTGATAGATCATTCATTCCTTCTTCTCCTAAAGAATCATAACAAAATCACTCGCTAAAGATACGATTCGTACTGTTCGAGGCTCGCGGTTGCCTGCTGTATCCTACTAGAAAAGTCTCGAACTAAATGGCAGGGTCGATACGGTATTAGATCTCCGAAGAATACTCCGAAAGCCTCGAATAGTTCGAATCGCAAGACCCCAAGCCATGATAGCCTCAAGAAACGCATCTCCAATACTCTAAGAGAGAAAAGAGCCGTACCTCAGCGTGCATGCCGGGATTGCCGCAACACACAGAATCCTTGCGTTGCAAACTCCGTTGCAGGATGTAACCTGCGGCGGTCCAGGCGTCAGACTCAACATACAGACCTGGCCAACGTAACCATCGCTGTTGCACACCCAAACGTCTCTAGAACCCTGTCCGTTCGCCAAGGTTGGGGCGGCGCAGGTAAACTGCAAGCCAGCCCGAGTCTTGCGAATCGGCAGAGGTCCCACAAACTCTGGGCAGGGCCTCCTATCAGCGGACAACGCTGTAAGTAGAGACATCGAGACTGGTCAGACACCTGATTTGGACTTTGCTGGAGGCTGGATGGCACTCACCTAACTTTTGTTTGGCCTCGTTGAAACTCTCCTCCCAGCTAGCCCTTTTGTCTGGTTTCGTGAACATTACGAAGATATTCTCGATCCCAGCCCTGGAAATAGACAACGGTGCGCAAAGTGGTAAGTCACGTTGGATTTATCGATGGAGAGAAAACGCACGGTCCTTGGATGTCACGCACGTGCACGCGGAACGTGAGGGAGACAATGTAAAAATACGTTATTGTGCGCTAAGCGGCTTTCCGAACGGCCGACAGAATGGGGCGTCAGTGTTCGATATCCCGGCGAACGGTATTCACCGTTGTCCTTTGGGATGACACTTTCTCGCGACGTTTATTGATTGGTAAATGACACGCGAGCCGCGATATGTCCGCGAACCTCACAGGGAACGCGAGAATGAGACTGACACGTGAATCTTCTTAATGAATCTGAATTGTGGAAAGCTGGCATTAAGGATCAATAGGAGAGTTTCTAGAGCGCAGGAGAAATTCAATCGTTTGAAGTAGAGTGAATCTGGTTTATCAATTTGAAAAGTCCTGCTGGCAATTCTCAACATTTCTTAAAGTAATGATAATGATAAAACAGGCTTTAAGTCCAATCAGCAGATGTTGACATCTTCTAATAGAATAATTGGTTCGGTAGAGATCTAGAACTGGTACTTTGTTAAGGACTTTAAAGCGTGTAACTCACTGAGTATTAAGCGTTAATTCCAGACAGGCTAATTGCGAGTGCGCCGCGTTCCTCTCGGCTAATTGACGTTGCGCCTGTCCTAGCATGTCTTTGATGAGATCCTCCAACTGTTGCTTCGCGCCGTGCAACGTTGATGCGAGTTCCTGAAGTTGTGTCAACGTTGCGCAGTCTTCACGAAGGTGGTCTACCTCGCGAGCCATTCGCCTTAAGTTTTCATCTTTGGCTGTCGTAAAAATAAACGAGAATTAAAATTAAATTTTAGCTCTCGATAGACTCAGAGGAAGTTAAAAAATGCTGAATAAAGAATGATAAATAATTTTATTCCTGAGATTCGTACCTTTCATAACCTCTAGGTCGTCCAGCGGTATTCTCATTAACATTTTGTACTTATTTGCTTCCAGTAGGCCGACCAAACTGTTCGGGCAGGAACTCCTACAAAAAGTACAGAGAACTAAATATCAGAGGATGAATTAGACTGATGTTTACGGAAACAAATTTACTAGTATCCTATACAGGCTACCCCACTTTTCAATACCACACTAAAGATTTCTATCTCCTCGTAAGATCGTAAATTTTCTTTTTAAAACAACGAATTTAATAACCCTTTTTAATATCAAAATAATAACCAAGATTACACACCTTTATTAAATCTTGGCGTCGAAAGCAAAACGCTTTAAATTTGTTTGGCGGTAAATGGATTAAACTAATATCAAGTTGCTACAATTTTTAAGTCACGGAGCAACTGATTTTATTTACAGTTTCGTGTAGAAAAATCGCGCTCGAGCACGGTAAATGTTTGAATATTCTCCAAAGATACGGTACACACTCACGTCGACGGTTTTCTTATGGGTCCACTCCTCCTCTTGATACTGGTGATAACAAGCAGATCGGAGAACAAAAATAGCGCGCGCTCCTTTTTTGTTCCTTGATTCGAGACTATCGTGACCAGATCGTGGCGAACGAAAGCTCTGCAGCAAAAATAGATGCGTCAATTCAGATGAATCTTTTTGTTTTCCTAGCAGCTTCTGCAGTGACACGCATCAGTATTGGGAATCGATACGCTGCCCGCGCTTAAAAGGTTGAATGGTTCATGAAATGGAGAAGCGAGTGCAACTCTTTACATGGGACGGAAAGACGTCTGATAACCAATCTATTGTGTCAAGTGTGAAATACCTGTAGAATACCAGCATTCACATTTTTGTATTTCTAAATGAATGTGTTCGTACGTAACTGGTCGAATCTCTGTTCATGTAGGTGTACTTCAAACAGGTGGAACAATCTTTTTCTTCTCTTTCATATTTTTTAAAGTTAGCTTATAGTATCTGGTTATGGAAAATGAGGCATATTTTGACGAGGTTACAAGTTTTGCTTGGGAATTAGATCTCGATGATTGTACAATAACATCGTCTATCGCACTGTGTCGATAATATGGTAAGATGGTTATTTTGAAGAAAGTTGAAGAGAAAGCTGTATAAGCATTACAAATAGGAATTTGACTCTTCAGTTTCTATGAATACCTCCAAGTGCCATCTTTTAAAGTTACTTGGAACTATTACACTCTAACGAATAATGTAACGTTTACGACATTTCAGTTCACAAAACGATCGATAAGAGCTCCAATTTGATTTATCCATAACTTGAAGTTGGAAATTGCAGGTTTAGTGGCGATGTAAGGGGTTGGCTATTAATATCTATCAGTACTAATGCGTATGTTATGTGGTTGGTTCCGTAGCTACGCACCTGTCGTTCGTGACGATCCCAGCAAGTCCTTCGACGAGCGCCTGAACTTCTCTCAACGTAGTTTGCTGCTGCTCCCACTCAAGGGACTCCCTTTCCGTGCAATTGATCTTCACGACCAACTCGTGCACTTCCTTCTGGGCGGCCTGGAGCAGCTCGTAGTCCGGATGCGAGGTGTCGGTGTGCTTCAACAGTCTCTGGATTAGCAGCTCGTAACGTGGTATCTTCTGCACTGGTTTAATCAGTAACTGATCCAGCCCGAGCTTCCCTTTGTGCTCCCGTTCCATGGTCTGTCGCGTGCGAAGGAAACGATCCAAGTAATGTAAACTTACCGAGCGCAATTTAAGGAAGCAAAACGGGATCTGCGACCCGAGAATAAGACTCTACGACTCGTAGAAACGCCCGAAGAAGAATATTCTACGAGCTGCTCTCGGGGAGATTGCCAAGCCGCGGAAATGGAAAAATTTGCTCGTGACAATTCCTGACCGAGACGACGTTTAAGAACACGGACGACAAAAGCGTTGGTTGAAACAAGGAAAATGAAAGAGAATCTTCGCTGTGTACCTCGAGGAATCGCGCGAAAGCCGGTTTCGCTTGACAAGTCGTTTTTATCGCCTTTCTCGCGGACTTCCAATTATCAAGGAAAAGTGTGTACGTCTCCAGGACGACTGGCTTCGTGAACTGTCGAGAAAACAGAAATATGCGTTAGAGCCTCTAACAGGTATTGAATAATAACAACTTCGTTGCTCATACGAATATATGAAGAAATAAAGGGGATAACGGATTATAGAGGGTGCCTTAGGATAAGTGTCGTTGATATTCGAATATAAAGTACGGGTTGTGTGTAATGAAAAATGGAGCGAATATCTTGTAAGTGAAAACGTACCACATCCAGGAAGACATCGCCGATCGTCTGTTTAAGTTCCCAAGTATCCAACCTTTTACGCAACTCTTCCAGAAATACTTCGTGATGATTGAGAATAGAAGGAATCTGAAACACGCGAATGCTCGCTATTGACAACGTTACCTTCTCTTTTGATGAAGACACCATTGTACGAGAACCAACAAACTAGAGAAACGCCATTTCTATCGAATGTATTTTAATCTTCAATTTCTTATTCGTGATCTGCGATTTCTATCGTCACATTACATTAATCTATATTGTATTTCACTTTCGTACTTTAAATTGATCATTTTTCATTTCCAAAGAAGACTTTCAATACTATTTGATCGGAACGTTCATTATTAATTGGAAAACGATAGTTCTTAGATTAATATGTTTTTGTAATTATAAAATTGATTAGTTAGGAACGCAAAGGTTAAAGATCAAAGATAGAGAAATATAATAATTTGGAAAATATGGTAATCAAAGGTCGAACTTGTAAACCCCGTTGAAGGTATTGGAAGGGATTCCCTTTCGTTTGGTTTTCTTATCGCATTGTGTTCCGATTCGTGCAAATTCCGAGGCGTCTGAATTGCTTGGAATTTACGGCAAGTAGAAAAGTTCGGATATAGTCAGACAAAGGAACACTACGCACAATTCTTTCCGTACCAACATTTTTGTACAAACTTTGGTCTGCACACTCAAGTATAATACCACAATTGTTTATATACTTTGTATCCATCTGTCATGAATATTTACTTAACGGAACGTGAATCTTTTACAAGATTTCCAACAATTATTCTTACATTAAGAATCAAAGAAGTTTATGCTATCCTTTGTTAATATTTAACAGAGTACTGGTTATGCTTTCGGAACGATTGCCTATACTATTTTCGATTCTCTTTTTGTTTCAGACAAAGAAGCGTATTTATATTTCTTACATTTTCTACAGATAACGAGTATTTTATATTAAAGTTTCAAAATGAAGAAACGCTGAAAATTTTTACCTGATAGAAGATCTCGTCCACTGTCGCGGCATCCACCAAACCAGCATTTTCGGAACTCTTCAACGGTTGTAAGTATTTCTGAAACATTAAATTATTTTTCGTTTCAGTTTCTGTAGTCTCACTGTCAGTGAAATATTCAGGTTAAACGACGATTCTGTTTCTTTTTTCTCCATGACTCATAAATAAGTGCATAGGCCCGTTAATGTGGACGCAAGCAACGCGATTCCTCGAATTCCTCCTCGGGGACCGAGAAGGCCGATCGTGGAAATACTTCTGGACGGAAAAGAGTGTCGCGACCCGGTATAGAAATAGGCACAAACGTTACCTCGTGTAAGATATTACTTAACGCCGCGTAATTTTTAACGTGAAATAAATTTTTATTCGACGAATGCCAAAGCAGAAAGAATTCCCTGGATTTACGGGTGAGAGGACAAAAATCGTTGGTCCCTTTTGAGCACATCACACTATGATCAGCTGTAAACAAGGCCTTTCAAATAAATCGAAACGTTCGACCAATAAAGAAGTCGAACGATGCTTTATTGTCAGCGGTTATATATTAGTTCCTCTAAAAAATCGAATAAAAATTTCGTCAGCGATGCATTCGGTTAGCTCTGATGCAAACCGAGGAAACATTCGTAGAAATTAAAATCGAAATGTCGAGCAAAGATTCTTCGAAAACAGCAAACGTCACGGCTGGAATTATTACGCGTAGCCCCGGATAAACGGCATGGTCATAACTTTTACACAAGAATCCGAACAAACATGACGATTAAAAGCACTTCTACGGAAATCTCTGAGGAAATAGTGCGCTTGAAATTTCCATTAAAAAGAAATCGACCGAAATGCCGATCTAGACAGAGAAAAACGTTCGATTCGAGGATTAATAAATATTTTTCCCAGGCCGCGTTCCGCTGTTCGTGATGTTTGCGTCTCACGAATGGGATTGGAACGACTTCGTGGAATGGGATCAAGATGTTTTAATAACAAGACGTCTCCGTTGTTGACTTCTGGGGATGAATTAACCCTTTGGAGACCGCGTGACGTTGGGATATTTCGAGGAAAATATTTCCTCTGTTCGGAATAATACAAAGACATAAATGCTGATATTCTTATTCGAACACCTCCGTTCCGAAGTTTATTTTTAATATCAGAAATATTCGCGTAATCAAGTTGAACATTCAGAAAATTCATTAGTTTAATATCGTAATTTATAATTTATAATTCATTTACCGCGTTCTTTTATATTTTATTTACGGTATCCTACATTTTCACACAATTCTACATAATATCAGTCTTTATTTATTTGTATAATTAACAAGCACGCCGTTTAGGACAAGTTAAACATCCAGAAAATGTCGGCGTCGTAATTATTCAAGTCTGCTCAATTAACACAGTTTAATAGCCTCAAACTAGGAACGCTGTGTTCCGCGTGACAGAGCTATTGGCATTTTCGATTCTCAATTCAACCGTGACCTTTTCCCAATTATTCAATAAATGGTAAACTAATAGAACGCAATTCAGCCGCGGAAAGATCCCCGTTTCTCCGTCGGCGGATCCATTGAGACCGCAGACACCTTCGATCGAGAACCATTTACGTGGGCCGTTTCACGAGATCGCGGTCGTAAAAGCACGTACGCGCCAAGACCGATATATCGATACGCGTAAATAAATCTGGAAATCACGCCTGTCACGGATTGCAGCCATTAAATTCAGAACACGCGTCGGTCGCACGCGCGCGCAGGGTTGCAGCCGAAGGTTGCGTCCCATTTACGCGTCGATTTTCAACGGTGTTTATGAAGAATCGTCCTTCCGTGATCGTATCGAATCACAGAGGCGGCACCGTAATTACGACGGACTAATTGCAGGCATTATTTATCGATCCGGGAGCCTTCGGTGGGAATACGACGACGAAACCCGAGACACACACGGGAATGAGCTTCTTGAAATGTCAAGCGACCAAGAAAGCACCGTTTTCCTTCGAGGGTTTACTTTCCTCCTATTTTATAGGGGATTCTAATGAAACTTTGCGCTAAATTGTCACGTAACGGGCTCAGATTCTCATTGGAAACGTTCCTGATGCTTTCGATCCAGTGCTTTTCATTTATTTATCGTGTCTTTTTATATTTTATTTTCGACACGCGTATACGGCTTTTTTCTTTTACACGATTTTGTATTAGTCATTTTTATTATTAACGAGCATATTTCAATTTACACATTCATATTCAAAATTCGTTATATTTTTAATAAGAACGAAATGTTTATTAATGTTCTTACTGTGCGTCCCTTTATTCCTTTAAATTGAGGGAGAAAATTATGTATCCAACCCAAGAACTGTGTCGTATTTCGTCGCTGCTATTTTTTACTTTAAGGGAGAACCATCCCTTATATAAATGCCCCCAATTTTACTTATACCTATCTACCTTTATATTAGAGAAGATATTAACAAATAATAACATCATAATTTATTTAGTTATCAGGGCTTTACCTTTCAAACGTATCGATAAGTTAATAAAATAGTTTCAAATTAAAATCGTGTTATTATTTCTGAAGGCCTATGAGTGAGAAAAGGAAATGGTCAACATAATTATGTTCCCGGCGCTTAAAATGTCGAACATGGAACTACTTTCACGTTAAAATCTTTCATAATTAAAAAACTATATAGACAGGAACAAAATATATGGTTTTCGTAAGAGGGGTGGTTCGTACGAGGGGTTTGCTTCCCTTGGAATTGGCAGCAACGAAGTACACAGCGCAGTTCTAAAATTGGACCAATGAACATTTGTGGAAAGTTTCATCAAAATCGACGTTTGACAGGTCTCAGTCCCCTTGTTGGCCGTTAACTGGGAATAACAGCAATATTGATTGAGGCCATGAGAGCTGAAGCGCACTAATCCCGCTGGGAGTTTTGCTTTGAACAATAGCGTGACTCTTGTATATAAAAACCGAATCATTAATGGTCCTTTCAAGCGTATAACGTCTTCGACATATTGTTTTGATTCTACTCGATATTTGAGCCGTTCATTGCACGAATCGATCAACTCCATGAAACAAAAATTTGAGAAATGTGATGAAAACGGCCCGTGAAATAAATTATTTATTATTCAACGGCCAAACATATTTCGTCGTTTAATGATGTTAATTTTTATTATTCAGGAAAGTTATTATAAATATAAAACGTTGACTGTACCAAATGCTTTGACATTTAAATTTAAGATTTTTCAAAAAGTGGAGTCAATCGATTTGTCCAGTGAACGGCTCATGTATCAACATTTATCCTGAGTGTTCTTCTAAAATTTGTATAGAGATTAAATTAAATACAAAAGTAAGAGAAAAATTAAATTAATTTACGTGGTTTTTCAGTTACACAGCGGATGGTGGTTGCTAGAGTTTGACGAAAACAACAACCTGGGGATGCGTGACTGCATAACTTAGAGAGATACTGTTCACGAAGTAGATCACTCGAGTGGAATCCTTGTTCGAACGAAGTAAATAAACGAGTAATGAGCTTGTTTACGAGAAACAAGGACGCGGCATCGATATTCGAGGAACTTTGGAATAGCGCATTTCAATTGAGTTGGCTGCTGGCATTTCTCCGCAAGGAAAAATAACACAAACCGAGACAACGCGTTCTCAGTTGAATTAAAATATTATTCTGTGTCCTGTTGTGCCCTGTTCCCCGTAATCAATAACAGATTTCTGGGAAAGAATAATTGTTGCATTTTCCGAATATCAATCAGTTTTGTAATTATTCTCTTAATTACACGTTTTGGAAAATACATTTTGATTAACGTTCATCGAATTGGTCTTCGATTTGAACAAACACTTGAAATAAAATCGAAGATTGAATTTTATTATGGTAGACGGTGAAATTTATTTATGGATTTAAATGAAATGTACTTACATTGACTAGTATTTGCAGCGCTTCCACATAAGATCGCTCCGTGTCATAAAGTTCCACAACAACGTGGGTTCTGGTGTCCTGAAACAGATGAATAACATTTCAATTGAAATTAACATTTCAGAAAATATGTCTTGAAATATCGATAGATATTTAATTGCATATACGATCATGCTGAACAGTTTTACTGCAAGATTGTTCTTGATCAAAGGTTAAGTATTAGATGAAAGAGTTTTACATCATGCAAATATATTTATTTAATGTATAAAAGCTATCTGAAACTAAAATTTGACTTTAATTTCATAGGGGAAAAATAAATATCGTTCCTGTATAACATTGCAATCTGCTATTTAATAATGCTGACAACAATTTAAAAAAATATTGATGAACCTTGAAATAACAGCGAAAATATATAATGTGTTAATTATTTATTGAGGAGATGTAGACCCCTGAATGTATTTCACTCATCTTAAATTAACGTAGAAAAAAAATAATTATTCTTTTCTGAAAGATAAATCTACTACAATCAAGACACATAAAATCGAATTATTAAGCACGAGACAGAAACTTTATCTCTTGTGTAGCCGTAAATCGCGTTGATACTAGTACAGTATACATTTTCGATAACTGTTCTCTTCAAATCCTAAACAAACAACTGTCGAGAGTACGATGAAATTGTTACGTGTTGATTGTGTTGTTTCGTGATAAAAGATCGCACGTGCCTATGTAATGCGTGAGCACGTGCAGTTGGTCACGTGTTAACCGATATTGTCACGATCCAAACTGCGAGACGAACTTATCCTGTTAGGTCAGGGTACGCCCAGACTCGAGCTTAAAGTCGCATCGTGAAAAAAGAAATGTTATTTACCCAATTTGGACTCATTTTTCCATAAGGAATTGCCATTTCGATTGGATCGCGAGTTACCGTGTTCTGTTCAGTAGAATTTCGACGACCACGGTGAAATGCAATTTGGTAAAGGTGGAAATCATCGTGGGTGGAACGGCAAACGCGGTTCTCGAATCGTGCGTTAACATCGAGGGAATTATTCGAGCATCACAGCGAATAAATTCTGGGCTCGCGTTGGATGGCTAATGAAACGTATACGTGCGAAAAGGCAAAAAAAAAAAAAAAAAAAAAAAGAAAGAAAAGTGCGGCGACAGTAACAATAAACACGGTCTTCGACGCGTGTATCAATGCGTGTAGGGTACATAAGCATGAGAAGGAGTGCTACCCACGCGGTCAGTGCTGACACGCTCGTTATTTTCGCTGTCCACCGACGGCTGGCTGATGAGTTTGCGATCAGCGTTCATCGTCATCCTCTTCCACCACCTTTGCCAATCCTTCGCGACTTTGAACGGTTTTCACTTGCATATCAATCCGGCTCTCCGCACCGGAGTCCTACCGACGATCGTTCCGCGATTTTGAGCAACACTGCACGAACGTTCAGCAACGACCATAAATCTCCACCGTTATAGACATGTTCTTGGTCAACCGTGACAATCTCGAAAACTGATTAAAAGCATGATCCTCTCTTTGGACGAGCGTCGAGTCGCTTCCGTGGGAACCTTCGACGGGGTCAATTTAACGGTTAGTTACTTTGTTTGTCTATTGGAAAGTAGGAGTACTAGGGTGGTCTCTTTTAGGTTTCTTGGCTTCACCTTCACAGAAAGGTTTTAATAACTGGCACGAATGAATTGCACGCGCTTCCATTATACGTACGATATGCTGACTCTAATATTCGAACACCATGTATATCGTATACGTATCAGCATGAAGATAGACCTTGTAGGAACCCTTACATATTTGTGAAATGAAGATGTAAAGCAAAATTGAATAAAAATGTACAAGGTGTATTACAGGATACGTTTTAATCATCTATAATAAATGATTTTATGCGGAGCAACTGAAAGAATATTTTTCAAACTAACGTGTCAATCTTAAAATGTTTATATTAAATAAATGCATTTGCTCAGATTGTACGTTTGTACGTAGATTGATAAAAGAGGTAACAACAGCATTGGTTGAAATTAATGGGTCTTCGATCCACTTCGAGATCATTCTCGAAATATATTTACCTACAATGCCCGTGATGCTAAAAATATCCCGAGTCATGTAAAAGTTTTATCGGTTTACAAAAGCGAAAGAGTTACAGTATCGGAAAAACTAACGATGTGAGGAAAGGAGGTTTCCTTCGATCAGCAGTTCCCCGTATCAGCCACAAGCATCATTAGTTTTACAACGCCACTTTTATGGGTTAACATTTTCTTAACACCGCGAGAAAGAATTATTAATAACGAGAATTAATTACGGAAAAGACACAAGGTATTAACTAGGAATATTATAGAAAAATTTGAATAGAGTATTTTATTTAAATTTTCAATGTAACCTAATTTCTAGGTAATTACACCAAATTTTGACCTCTAAAAAGATATTGTAATGTACAATAAGACGGTAAAGCAAAATTTAAAACAATATCTATTTACAACACTAACGCAAAGTACGACAAATTTTCTGAAATTCATACTAATAGCTTGATAAAATCTATAGTGCTATTCGATGTTGTACGCATTTTAAAGCACGATAATGTAAGTGAGATGGTACTCGATTGTCAACAGTACTGCAGCACATTAAAGAGAATCGAGCTTTCTATGATGCAACGCATGATTAAACGATTCACATGACAACTAAAGAAATAAATTAATAGATTTTTATGAAAATTGTCCTTAGTGTTATCATTGTGAATAAATTTTACTTTTCCGCCCTGTTGTACATTATAATATTTTTTATAAGGTCACAAGTCTATCTAATTATTTATAAATTACTATCTTTCTATCCAAGTTTTCTGAGATGCTCGAATATACCAATAAATTAAAACTCTTTCTTTCGCCAAAAGTACGGAACACTACGACAATTCCTACAAGAATTCAATTTCGAAAAACAGTAAATTCGGTGTAAATCGACCTAATAATCTACGTCATATCACGGAGAAGGTTGATGACAAGAAATTCTGATCGCGGAATCGCAGACAAAGGCTGCCTCGCGTCCGCTCGAGCTTTTCGCTTTGGAGTGATTCAGCAGTGCCACTTTAAAAGCTCGAGCCGTACGTCCGGCAAGTTTTGGCGTTTCCAACGCAGAGCTTTCACACTTCGAGTTGGATGATTATACGTCGAACACGTCGTAGTACACGTACCGTTCCACGGTGCGTTATATTTAGCGAGGTGAGTCAGGGCCCCCCTCGTGTGCTTGCAAGCTCCCCTTTCTATCTTTTTCGCTCCAGTGCTTTTCCTTCTTTCGTCGAGAAGCTCGGCGTTCCGTACGATTACCGAACTGATTACCTTCAGGCGAAGCTCACGACCTGATTTTCGTTGCTTTGTGGGTCGGCCAGAGCTTTCGCTGTGTCTTTGAATCGTTTTTGTGGGTCGCAAAGGTGTGCTTCGAAAAAATAAAGACGAACGTAAGAATTGCGTAAAGTACTTCGTTTCACTTTTCCTTTATTCCTCTGTTTGCGTTTTAAGGTCCCGAGTCAACGCGTTTTACAGTGATAGGAGATATTTGAAAAATAATTGTACAGTTTCGAGAATTCATCGTTTAATAACTAAACTTTAACTGCGGAATGAATTAGATATCTGTGGCCCTTCTGAGAATGAAATTCACCGATACGTTTAATAATTGATAATTATTAATACATTTTGGAAATTTGAAACTTAGAAGGACGATGAATATCTATGAATGTTTTTAGACCAAACAAACTTGTGAGTCATTGAACTAATATGGAAACATAAATGGAACGTAGCTTGGAAAATATACAAAACAAGTTCACTCCACGAATCCATCCCTAATTCGATAATCTTGAAAACATACAAATTTGACTAGCAGGCAAGAAGTCATAATTGCCAGGATGCGATTAGGACACGTTAGAATGAGTCACATGCATATTTTTAACAACAGCCCTCCATTTTCTGTCGTCTATAAATCGGAATTAAAGCAATAGAGGGAAATTGAAAGTGCATAAAATGTTTTGCGAAGAATACTGCAGGACTACCAGTAGCTACAATTTACGCGACAGTGATCAGTGTCTGGCGATTTTTGTTTATTTCGCAGATTTGTCTCTCGTGTGATATTCAAAAACGACAGAGCAACCAAACAAGAACTCGAAACTGAGAGGCTTCCCTAAGTGACAGGGAGAATCTCTGACCTTTCTGCTATTGCCGCGTATGATATTGTCCGTCGTATCGTGTTCGTTCAGCTTTGCATTATTTGTAACTGCTAACACAGTTTCATAGCTTCGAAAGAAGAACGGCCACTTGATGTAAAATGTCAGAAATCAGAATACTCTGAATTCACACGTATTCATATACATGTATGTAATAAGAGATTTGATATATGAATCGTTCATCGCACAAATCGAATAACCCCATAAAATAAAAAGTTGAGAAATGCGATGATATAATTTCCATTGTTTTTTAAAATTCCCTTTATAATATAATATAAATTCAAATAAATATTGTAGAATGCACAAATACAAACTTAGCTTCCATTTAACGGAATATAAAATTAATAAGAAAGAATAGCCAAAAAATAATCGTCAGTAATGTTACAATTCTTATGTTACTGGTAGAGTTAATCGATTTGTACAGTGAGTGGCTCATATTATTGTCCCATTAGATTTTGCAATTCATATTACATGTACTGAAACGCAAGCAAAGAAATATGCAGTAATTTTTTTCCAAAATGAACTACTCTTACAAGATTAATTATCAAAAATCCAGAAAAATTACGAATATTATTTACATACATTATAAAGTTCAATGGAAACCGAAAATGGACCTGGAAAGTGCCAAAATGAGATGTTTCATCTCACATGATATCATCATAATTTTTGTTAACTCGAATGACGTGAAAATTAATTAACACTCGTCATTGTCGATTCGACGGAGCCTGCGACGAGATATCCTAGCAATATGTTTTAGCATTTCAAAGGAGCTGCGCGCGGTAATCCTGCTTAACTAGCGCTGAAGCCATAGTTTGACCCCTGACCTATGGGAAATATTGGTATTACCCGTTCGGTACTTGTATTATT